GGGGGGAGGGGAGAGGGAGCTAGGAGAAAGATAGGGGGAGAAGAGGAGGGGAGAGGAGGACATGAGAGAGCAGGAAGGTTGAGTAGGGGGAAGCATAAAGAAGAGCAAGAAAAGAGATACCATCATAGAGGGAGCCATTATAGGTTTAAAGAGAAATCTGGCCCTAAGGAAATGTCCAGAGGATGGCACCAACTAACAATCTAAGCAGTTGTGGAGAGGCTATCTTAAATGCCCTTCTCCAATAATGAGATTGATGACTACCTTATATGCCATCCTAGTGCTTTCATCTAGTAGCTGATGGAAGCAGAAGCAGACTCCCACAGCTAAACACTGAGCTGAACTCCTGGAATCCAGTTGCAGGGAGGGAGAAGTGATGAGCAAAGGGGTCAAGACCAGGCTGGTGAAACCCACAGAAACAGCTGACCTGAACAATGGGGAGCCCAAGACTGATAGCTGGAAAACCAGCATAGGACTGTTCCAGACCCCCTGAATGTGGGTGTCGGTAAGGAGACCACAGCAATCTATGGGGCCTCTGGTAGAGGATCAGTATTTATCCCTAGTATATGAATGGACTTTGGGAGCCCATTCTACATAGAGGGATACTCTCTCAGCCTAGACACAAGGGGGAGGGCCTAGGCCCTGCTCCAAATGATATGACATATGTTGAAGATCCCCATGGAAGGCCTCACCCTCCCTGGGGAGCAGAAAGGGGATGGAATAGAGGGGTGGAGGGGGCAGGGGAGGAGGAGAGGGAGAGGGAACTGGGATTGATATATAAAACAAGCTTGTTTCTAATTTAAAAAAAAAACAGAAAAAAAAAAACCACAAATAAAAACAAGACAGGTTCTTTCTATGTAACTCAGACTGGCATTGAACCCAGATCCTCTCTTGCCTCCTAAATTGTAGAGTTATAGGCATGTGCCACAGTGCCTAGCTCTACAACTTGTTTTTTTTAACTTGACAATAATGCATGAACATGCATGTCATAAGATCAAGGTCCAAGGCTGCTTCTTTATTTCAATTTACTTTGTAAAGGTAAACACACATATAGATGGTATTTTATCAATGGTATTTCTCATTCTTGTTCAGTCTTTCACTCCTTCTCAGCCTCTACTTCCCACTCCACTACTAATGACACAATAATAATGAGTATATGTCCGTACACCTCCCTTTGCTTTTCTCCATACTAGTATAATCATATAGAGTTCAAAATAGACAACCAAGCCAGTCAGCTGAACAACTCTATGTTAGTTTGAATCTGGAATGTCCTTCATAGGCTTCATGTTAACCCTTGTCTCCTGGCTCAATGCTATTGGAAGGCAGTAGAACTTGTAGGCATGGAACAGCGTGGGAAGTCTTTAGTTCGCACAGGACAGAGCTCTTAGGGAGGATTATGAGACCCCATTCTTCCTCATTCTGTTACTTCCTGACCTTGAGGGAGTGGCTTTATCCACCCATCCTTCCACCATGTTATGCTACCACATCCCCAAAGCAGTAGATCCAGGCAATCATGAAACCTCTAAAACTGCAGGCCAGAAGGAACCTCTTCACTTTGTAATTTGATTATATTTCTGGTATTTGCTTTAATAGTGGAAAGTTAAATTAACAGACACTATGAGCTAATGGAAGGCTATGCAAGACTCAAGACTTAGCTGAAACTCTGTTTTCTGGCAATGCTAACACAAAACTTCCAAGTGGCCAACCACCAGGAAAGGGCCACCACCCAGGATCTGTCTGGTGCTGTGAACTCAGGCAGCCTAGCCTTCTTGCTGAAACCCAGGCTTTTAGCCTTCTACCTCTAGCTCCTCAGCTGGCTTAGAAAAGCATACTGAACTTGGACATAGAAATGCAGTTTTCCCATTCTGGGCAAACACATTTAAGTTCATTTCATGCTATTTAGTATCTTTGTGTCTTATTAACAACACAGGCCAATCCAACTCAGCTAGATTACATGTACAATATAGATGTCAAAGTCAGTATTTTCCATATGCCTTTCTTCTCAATGAGTACCTGGTGGAAACCTTTCCATGTGGGCAGAGCTAGTGCTGATTCATATGTCTTGGGTACTTCAACTTGGATCCTATGCATTCATGCCAAGACTGCATGCAAACTTTTCTCAATTGATCTGTACTCATTTTCTCCAGTGCACTTGCCACTGTTAGCAACATGGCATTCAAAACCTTCACCTACACAGCCCTACTTAGATTTTTCCAGCTTGCATCCTAATATGAATGTGCATGTAATTATTCACATTTCTATCAGCTCAGTGTAACAGTACCCTTTTCTGTATCACACCAGCTATATTTGGCCAAGCTGACAGTTATAAATTCTAAAGTTTCCCCTTAGCTTGCTTGTATACTCCAGGAGATTTTCATGGGTTTGGATGTCTTTCATTTGTTTAACAGCCATTTGGATTTAAGGGGGACACTTTAATAATTATTTATGAAATGAAAATCCTCCAAAGACAATCTTGCTTTTGCTAGTCAAAAGAAACCACCAATATCCTCTTTGCATATGCATATATCTGAATAATCTAAATTTTAGATGAGAAACTTCTGTGTTTGGTGTCATGATAGGATTGTTTTATAAAGCCAAGAATAAATTGACCATTTTAGTTCCAACCTGTTCAGTCCCTATGGACTCATGAGCCTTATTTCCTGGTGTTAAAACTCATCTGCTGGTGGTTCAGCAATTCAAGGATCCTTGCTCTAGATGCACAAGGGAAGCAAACCATGTTCTCTTCACTCATCATTTGGATTACCTGTAAAGCTCTTCATAGCCTTTGACATTTCCTTACATGCTGGGAATTTCCACTCTGGTTATTTGGATCCAATGGTGTCATCACTGAAGTCCAGCACTACCCTGAAGTCTTAAGTAACGGGTCATATCCAGTGTTCACTAATACAAACAGTGCCTCCCCAACCTGGACCTCTGAATTTGTGGGCACCACCTTTGTGGACACCATTTCCTGACCCTTTGGAGATTCATTTCATGGGGAATCTCCCTTCTCAGATATCTGCCAGTCGAGCTCAAAAGCCAGATGCAAAATGCCAGATAGGATGAAGTCCTCAAAGACTAAACTTTGTCCTGGCCCCCAGAGGATAGAGCACAAGTTTATTTCCTACTTGGAATGACAGGGAGTTACCCACTCACCTTTGGTTTCCATCCATGAAGCTATACCTTACTGCCCCTTCTTGCTGTCCAGCTTAAGCTTGGAGCCAGACTACATCACCCAGTTTCTCTCACATTATCTCCTTCTTCTGTTGCTCTTCCTTAGAATCCACCCATAGTATGACCTCAAGCTGCTCTGTCTCCCAGTTTGTCTTTGAATTCTCATTCCCCACAGAAAGCTCAGTTTACCCCTTACATACAATGTGCACTGAAACACAACAAGCATGTTATCAGAGTGGAAAGTCCCCCAAGGCTCTGGATGGATACCCTTTTACTGTTTTCCAAGCTCCCTAAAAAGTCTTACAGTCACGCTGAATCCAAGTGTTCCATCTTCTTTAACCAGATCCACGAAGTAGATTTCACCAACTTTGGCTTCTAGAGGAAATGAAGGACAATAACCAGCAGCCTGCTCCAAAGAAACAGAAAAACAGAGCCATGAGGCACCTGATCTATTTCTGCAGATACTCAGCTCCCATTTGCTACTAGGATCCAGCAGCATTGACCCAGGAATAACAGGAGCCTAGAGAGACATCTCCAGCTTTATCAATTCCTTAGCATATGACCTTGCAGGAATCTCTCAGACTGTCTAGCCTTCATTTCCTAATCCATGTAACTGACCTCCTAACTGTGACTGGGAATATGCTGGTACATGGCAGTGGCTGAATAAATGTAGATTCCTCCTGTCTGCACTTACTCGGCAAACATCCATGTTAAAACTGATACTGTTCAAGTACTTCCTGCATCACTCAACACATGATGGCAGCCAGGTACAGCATGCTGACTACCAGATGCACAGCAACTCCTTGAGGCAAAAGCAAGTCTCAGGAGAACTTCTGGCCATTCTTAGCAAGACTGGTCATGTTATGGTTGATTTTTCAATAGCTGACGGTTTTATGAAAAAAGCTCATACCATGTATCAGGCAATTCCCTAGGTACTTGTAACAGTAAGTATATAAGACTTGTTCATCCATTCAACTATTCATAAGACATTTGTTGAATACCTATTATGTCCAGGGCTATTCTGTGGTTTGAACATCTCCACAAATTACTCTTAAATGTAATTACCATAATACAATATTAAGAGATGAAACTTTCATAGTGATTAGGTCATGGAGGCACAAGCCTCATGACTGCATTGCTGTAGGAATGGGCTGTGTATAAAAAAGAGGACTTTGTCCTCTTTTTCTTTCTATCTCTCATACTCATGCAACTCTCCCCCATGTTATGCTTTCTGCCACAACACAATAACCTTTACCAGATGTGGCTCCTCAATATGACTCTTCCCAGCCACCAAATCTTTATCCAAATAAATCATTGGTATATAACCGAGGAAATGCCAATTCTTCCAAAGACTCCACACTCCTTGACTTAGCAAAGTGTTTAGACTAAACATTGAATCCTGAGGAATTAAACAACCGACACGGATGAGATCCAAAGTGGGTATGTAATATCCACTACACCACTAGTTACCTGGCCACAAAGCTAGACACATGATCCAAACGAGCCCGATGACATAAGTTCAGTCTCTATTCAGTCTCCTCTCAACTGCCCCCAAAACCAGCTTGCAGGTTTCCCAGCACACAGAGCCTTCTGCTGTTTTCTGCAGAAGGGAGCCTTCTAAAGAGCAGCCTGAGAGCATGGTTTCTGCTCTCGAGTCCAACACGATAGATTCCAGGCTCGGATGCACCACTAACTCCCTGGAGGCTTTAGCACAATCCTTTCCTCTCTGTGCCTGGGTAAAAACCCTACAAGAGGGGTTGACAGTCTCATATAACTTTCATAGAGCTTTCGTGAGATTGCTCTTACAAAGTGCCTAGTATACTGCAGGACACATAAGCCGGTGACTATTGCTACCATTATTATTCTCTCTGATTCTATGTCCAACTTTTGAGGGATGGGTGTAAGGCAAACTCTCACTATATAAACCTTACAGACTTGAACTTGTTACATGGACCAGGCTGACCCCATATTTGTGCCAATCCTCTGACTTCAGTCTCCCAAATGCTGGGATTACAGGGGTGATCCTCCTAGTCCAGCTGCATCCAGCTCATCATGCCTGAGCTGTGTGAATGAACATCATGACCAATTAAGAAGATATTAACAGCCTGGTCTCCAGAGCGAGTGCCAGGATAAGCTCCAAAGCTACACAGAGAAACCCTATCTCGAAAAACCAGAAATAAAAAAAGAAGATATTAACATGAAAAGAGCCATACTGCATGTCAGACCTTGATGCTTGGGGACAGAACATACTACATCATAATAAAACCACTCAGCGAAATGACTCTGCTAAGTTTAAGGAACCTGTGAAACAGCATGAGTAGGCAGGTTTCTGGCCTCCTCTGGCTTTTCTAAACTGAAGCCTGTCATTGGAACCAAGGATTTTCTAACCTTTCCCTGAGCATGGCATAAGGCCCTCATGTGAGAGGAATTTGCAGCCTTAGCTCAAAGGCTAAGGGTCAGAGAATTGAACTAACAGACATATTAAGTGTCCTCCAGTTGGCTCATGCTTTCTACTTAGTCACAGTTCCCCATTTACACCAAACCTGCTATTGAATACACTTCAGTTTTACTGTGTGGGTATTTGTTTCCTCACAAAATCTCCTGTAAAATGTATATTCAATAAATGTGTATGCTCTTCTCTTACCAATATGCCTTGTTACAAGGACTCTATCTAGTAAATGAGGAGGAAAAGATTCCTTCTGCACAATGGGCACAGCATACTTCTCTCTGGGCTGGGAGTGAGAGACCTGTCTGTTCAGTTCTTTGCTGTGTCAGCAGCTGACTAGCCCCTAATACATATGCAGTTGTTGGCAATTATTTGTGGAACGAAAGAGAACATTACATGGTTGAAGCCACTGAGTCCAGAGGAAGCAGTAGCCACACCTAGATTGGAAACAGTATGTAGAGTGTCAGCTTGTCCTATGGATATGCATGGCTAGTCCTCCCTTGGGGGTGGTTCATGAAATGCAAACCACTTGAATGCCATGGCTTAATTATACGCCCAAGATTTTGTCCAAAGTGATAAACCCAAACATCTGTTCAATGGTGAGCACAGGCTTCATCGTTGATGTCCTTGTGGACAGACATCACCCTTCTACTTCCACAAGAGAAAGATGGGAGACATAGAGCAACCTGTTTATTTAAAGAAGCCCAAAAGAACAAGAAAGTCTACACACCCAGTATGGGCCAGAGAGGAGAGTTCTGGAAGTGATCAGAAATATAAAGCCTGTTTCAACAGTTCTAGCAGTTTTTAGAGAAGTGGTGAGCATCTGCTGAGCCTGGGGGTGAGAGGGGCAAGTGGCAGACAGAGCAAGGAAAGTAAAGAGCTGCAGTAAAGAGCTGCTAGTAGGTTCTCTGTTCATCACTGCAGGGATGGTCACCTATGTTAGCACATTGCCAGTGGCAGGCTTATTCCCATTTGTGGCAGAATTTCAGGCTCTTGTCAAAGCTTCTTCCAGGAAGAATCAACTGGAAGAGCCTGTGAACATCAACCACAAGGGATCCAGAACAAAAGAAAAAGATGGACTTGGGAGGCTATGGGGGTTTGCCCACCCAATAACCAAGAAGACATCAGGCAATGCATAGCAGAGACTGAAGCCAAGGCTGCACTTTGTCCTCTTGCTCCATGGGGCAATGGTAAGTACAAAACTATTCTGCTCAAGGACTAATTAGAAGTCAAGATTATAATACACCTAGTGGCCCTAGCCTTGCCCTCAGCACCAATCAATTCCATCATGTTGTCATAATCAGAAACAGTTCTAATAAATGGGTAGGAACACCAGAGACTCCAAACTGAGCCTTAACCCCCTATGTCAGTTGCTCTATCTACTTCCTGTGCCAAGAAGAGGTTAAGCAACCTGTAGCTGCTTGACATGGTACATCAAGAGCAGAGGACAGCATAGGACATGGGAGCTTCACTGGATCCACAGCCTATTCTCTTTCTTCTAGACTCTAGTGTGTAGACCAAGAGGATAAACATCTTTAACGATAGAGGGGAGAGTGGAGGCCTCTGCCTGGGTGGTGATCCCTGCACCTGAGACATTTCCGGTCCTCTGACATTTCTGTTCTGGTCATATGTGTGTGCTGACTCTCTTCCCTGGTGCCCATTGCTCAGGATGTCTGTACAGAACATGCCAGAACTTGCTGTGCTGTTCTTTTCTTCACTGGAGACATTTCCACAAACACCTATAAAAACAAGCCAAGAAGTCAACACTTGGAGAGGCTGGCATATTGGTAGCATCCTATGAGACACAAAATTTTCCTTGAGTGACAAGAGCTTTTATAGTTGCAGGGGATGCTATGAATTCATCATTTTATGAAAAATGCTGAATCTAGAATAAATGGAAGATCTGGAAGTGATCAGAAATGTAAATAGAAGTAACTTGTATGACCCAGTTATGAAAACATGAGAGCAAGGATAGTGAAGGATGCCAGCTCCTCCTTATTAAACTCCGGTCATTCCTGTGAGGAAAGGAGAGGAGAGGAGAGAAGAGGAGAGGAGAGAAGCGGAGAGGAGGGGGGGGGGGAGGAGAGGGGGGAGAGGAGAGGAGAGGAGAGGAGAGGAGAGGAGAGGAGAGGAAGAGGAGAGGAGAGGAAGAGGAGGAGGAGGAGGAGGAGAGAGTAGGAGAGAGGAGATGATGAGATCTTTTCATCCTCTCAACAGGCCACCAGTAAGGTGTCATCTCAGTTTAATTAGAAACAGATTAATTATTTAATGAATTAATTAAAACAGAATCAAAAGGAAAAACTAGCTTGTCCCAAATCCCATTTTCAACATGTGGAGCTTCTCTTAACCCTGACCTTCTACAAAACCATGAGGAGCACAGCTGTTCCCAGCATGCGACAAAAAGACCAACAAATAGTACCCTTGGGGTATACTCGGTAATACCAGGATCTGGGCTCTTCTAAGTGAAGGCTGATCATGGATTCCTGCTTACTCTAACTGGCATAGACAAAAGGGAAAAATGAGATGGGGATCAATAAGTAAACCCTGGAGTAAGATAACCAACATTTCTGGCCTTTGATTTCTTTATATCTAAAATAGATATGTCAGTAGCATGACATTACAGGATTAATGAAAATGAGATTATTCATAGACTTGGGATTTTATATGTATATATGAAGATGTATATGTACATACATATGTGTACACACACATATATAGAGATTGGCATATATAAATCTGCAAATGCATTTACTGTTGGTGTGCTAATACAATATTAGTGGCTCAGCAGATATGTGTTGGAGAAAGGCTAACAGAGCTCCTTCACACCTGGAGGTGGGAACACAGAGGTAGATTTACTGCTTTGAAACAGCTTACTAGCACCCAGGGAGGTGCTCAAGCTCACATATCCAATGAGTTTGACTTGATAAATTTGGTCTTGAGTTATACAAATCTAAGTTTATTTAGTATGGAGTGTGTCTGTGGGGGTGCCAGTCTGTAATGCCATGTTCCTAGTCATTTTTCTCAAAGTCCACTGTCATTGTCCTTTGGGCAGTATTGCAGACATCTGTTCAGTTTTTTCCATGCCCTTTATAGAAGCAGATATCGGGACTTTAGACCTGGAAAGCCAGCCTGTCCCACTGTGTTATTTGTAATTGAAGTATAAGCTAGGAGTCATGTTGGTTAATCATGATTGGCAACTTAATAGGATCTAGAATCAGCTAAGAGCTATATCTCTGGGGCGGTCAGCGAGGGCATTTCCAGGAATGGTTAACCGAGGGGTAAGCCTTTCCTCAGAGTTGGAAGCACCTTCTGACCTTGGCCTACAAGTAGAGGCCCATCTCTGGGGCGGTCAGCGAGGGCATTTCCAGGAATGGTTAACCGAGGGGTAAGCCTTTCCTCAGAGTTGGAAGCACCTTCTGACCTTGGCCTACAAGTAGAGGCCCAAGGGAAAGTAGCACTGCTCACTTTCTGAACCTTCTTTTCTTGCTTCTGATATCTGCCCTTCGCCTTGCAATGTGAACTGAAGACTCGTGGCTTCCCAGGAATCCTCCAGTCCTTTGCTGCCAAATGGGACACTGGCAGCATCCAGCCTCATGGACTAAGCAGCCATGGTTCTCAGATTCTCCATCATGCAGACAGCCACTGTCATTTAAGTCAGTCTAAGAAGTCCCCTTTTATAATATACAGTCATTGTTTCTGTTCCATTGCTCTAGAGGAGCCTGCTCTTCTGTGGGTGATTACAACTCAGTTTACAATCAATTTCCATAGCTGTTATGATGGGCTGTTAGCTGCCAGCTCCTAAGGCCCCATCTAGAACATCTGCCTTAACAGGAGACCATCACTAGACCTCTTCCCCCAGCAAGAGATCAGCTCAGTATAATATTAACTGTGGCAAAGTCATGTTTCTGACAGGTAGCTGGGCCACCATAGGGAGATGGCTTGTAACTCCTGGACAGTGGATGCACTTGTTGTCCGGAATTTTAATACAAGACTGTGGTTAGAGCACTTAAATTTTGGATATCAATTTTTAACATCCTGAAGGCTACCATCATGGTAGCCTGTCCTTGAACTACACTGAACTGTGATTTGATGGTCTAGTATTATTGCCTGACAACACAAGAAGTGAACTGAATGCCCTCAAAGGGAGAAAGTGTGAAGGAAAATTCAAAGATTACTGACCTGCCTCAGAAAGAGGTGTCAGCACTGTAGCGTCCAACAGAGACAGCGATCTTGAGGCTAGTGTGATGGAAATGTTGGGGCTGGCCCCTGAGGCATTGTGAAAGACCCTACCTGCAGTGAGGGTGAGAGAAAGTCACCTGGCAACAGCTAGTGCAAGTGTGAGACTGCTTTTCCTAGGGTCCAGCAGGTGGGATGCCTGCATTTAGAGATGAGTCTGAGTTTGTAGGCCGCCTCATGTAATTTACAAGATCACCCAGCAAAAAGCATCAGTGGTCCTTAGTAACCAGGGTGAGAGGGTATCAGCCTCCCTCCATCCCCTCTATCAAGAACTCCTCCAAAATGCCCCAAAGCAAACACATTTATTCAAATGCTTGTTGCTTGTGTCAAAAGATGAAGAAAACAACCCTTACACAATTAGGACTTTAGGGGGTTGATCCAGACCTACATAAGCAAGAACTCTGTGCTTGTGGTGCAGAGGCAGACTGAAGACAATCTCACTCTCCTTCCCAGCTGCAGAAATCTTGGACTTGAGTATCAATAAGAATTCCCTCCTTGTCATGCAAGGAGAGTGGGCGGGAACACATACATGCTGGGTGTATCCAGCCATATCTAATGAGGAGGCTGCCTTTCAGAGAGACATGCAATCATGGGACCCCACTCTGTCCCTGAGATTTCACAGCATACTGATTTGTGACACTGAGTTGCCTCCTTGCAAGCCAGGACCATGCTTGCAGAGAGCTACACAAAAGACCTACATGGAGCTTTGTGTTTTGTGCCCATGGCAGTAACAGAGGAGGCTGTCCCATTGTTGAAAGTGAGATGAAATGTACCTTTTGACTGAGAGATGATTAATTCTATGTTGTCAGGAGAATTCTGGATCATTCTAACAGCCATGTTGAATGTGAAGCCCTCCAGGCTGATGTGATTCAAGGCTAGTATCTTCCCCCCTGGAGGAAAAAAAAAAAGTATCAATAACCCCAGCAAGGAAATAAGGAAAGTGGTAACTTAATGCATCTTTGTTGATTTAACTTAAGATGTACCTGGTTTGATCATTTTAGCCTTTTCTGCTGGTCCCCCAGGTATAAGGGAAGATATGAAAATGCCAGGTTTTGCTTGGTCCACATCTTCTCCCTCGTTAATGACAAAACCTGTAATCCAAGATGGCATTTAACGATAAGATGATGCTTAATGACTTCGTGGCTCACACAGCTACCAAGTGGTACGGCTGATAAGAGCATCTGAGGGAGATGCCTGGAGAAAGTAGACTGCTCCCTTTACCACCCACAGCTAAGCTGCAAATGCAGCCTACCAACCCAGCTGGCTTTGTGACAGGACTTGGGGTTGCCCGACCCCATCTGCGCTTGTGTGTTACATGTAAGTTCACATGTATGTGTGCACATGTGGAGCCTCAGAGTTTGACACTGGATGTCTTCCTAGATTGTTCTCCACTTTATTACTTATAAGTTTTTTTTTCTTATATGTTTATAGGTGTTTTGCTTGCCTGTATGTCTCTGTACCATGTGTGCGCAATGCCTGTAGAAGCCAGAATAAGGTGTCAGATCCCCTGAGACTGGAGTTATGGTTGTGAGTCACCATGTGGGCTTCAGCCCCTCTACTTTATTTATTAAGGCAGCCTCTCACCGAATGCAAAGCTCACTGACTCAGCTACTCTAATTAGCCAGCTTGCTGGAGGAATCCCTGTCTCAGCCTCCTGAGTGCCAGGATTACAGGCATAATATCATACCCACCCAACTTTTTAATGTGGGTGCTGGGGATCTGAACCCTGATTTCATGTTTGCATGGAAAGCATTTTATCAACTGAGCTATCTCCCCAGGCCCAGGAAAGATGGTTTCTAACCAAATACCTGTCTCAGTATCTTTTTTTCTTACATGACTTTAAGGATTTTTAAATGTGATTAATAATTGAAGACGAGAAAGATTGCCTACTCCTCTACATCACTGAGAACCTATTTATACTGGAGAAAGGTTGGCACAAGGTGTGTGGGGAGGAGGGCGTTTTATTTTTATCTTGTGCTTAGATACACTCTGAAAATACGTCGGCACTTGCAAGGAATTCTTTGCCCCAAAAGTCTTTGTGTTCTTTGCTGGCACTGACAGGAAGGAAGTGGAAGGGGTTGTTGAAAAATGCAAGAAGAGGCTAGGTTGGGGGAGAGGAAAAGTCAAAGAGAGAATGGTGCTCATCCTCTCTCTATTGAGCAGAGCCTGGGCCTCACCTTCAGGGCACCCTCTTACCAAAACCACGATGTGGATCACGCTTCAGTGTCACACACACCACGTCTTGGTTGGGTTCCTCCGTAAAGCTCCTCCTCCAGCTGTTCTGTGGCCCTGGAGGCAGAATCAAAGCACCATGTTTGGGTTTTTCTCACAAATTGGTTGGAACCTAACAAAACACACACACATGCAAGCAAGAGCAGCTCACAGCAAATCTCCCATCAGCCTGAGAACAGACCATTGAACACATATTTGACTGAACCACAACTGGGCCACTGTTAGTCAAGACTGGGCTACAAGAATAGAGACCAAGGCAGGATGGCTGACGGTGTCCATTTTCTTCATGATTCACCGTAAGTCCTCCTCATTGGTGTTAGAAATGGAACCTAAGCCCTTGTACACATTAGGAAGTGTCCTATCACATCCTCTCTCTCTCTCTCTCTCTCTCTCTCTCTTGCTCATTCTGGCCTCCAACTCACTATGTATCCAACACTGGCTTTGACCTCTTGATCACCCTGCCTCTGTAGTCAAGGCTCTTGGATTATAAGCATGAGCCACCATGCTCACCTAACATTTTTTCCTACAGTTGTCTTGAGACAAGATGGAGGGTAAGTGGGGAGTGTACTTCCTGTCAATGACAACTGAAACTAAAACAGAGATGAGACAGTGAAGTCTCCCCCTTTGAGTCTTGTAGTAGCTTGGATCTTGAATGTCCCCAAGAGGACTATGAGTTGATAGCTTTGTTGCCACTGTGTGTTGCTACTGGAGGTAGTGCAGCCTTAAAGAGAGGGTGCCTTAAAAGGGTATAGAAATTGAGTCATTGCATATGTGGTCTTGAAGTGGATACTCAACTGCAAGTTCCTCATTTCTCTGTCTCTCTGCTTCCTGACTCTCATCAGTGAACAGGCCTCACCCATCATCATCTCCTGCTATGGTACACTCTGCCATCACAGGCCCAAAGCAACAGGGCCTAGCAACCTGGACTGATACCTCTGAAGTCATTGGTAAAAATAAACCTTTCTGTTCTTTTGTTTCTAATACAGGGTCTTACTTTGTAGCCCTCGCTGGGCCAGAACTTGAACCAGGCTTGCCTCAACTCAGAGATCCCCTTGCCTCTGCCTTCCCACCTTTCCTCTTTTTAAATTGACTTCTCTCAGAAATTTGTCCTAATAAAGGACCACTAACATGGGTCTCTACCAGTCACCAAAGTACAGGGGCTGATGGGCCAGCTTGTGTGTCCTGGAGTACTTCCCAAGCTTGTGTCTGGAGGAGACCCAAAGCAGAAACTTAAAATTGTTTCTAGGAAGCTGGTGTCTTGGGGTAGGACACAAGTTCTGTCACAGCTCCAGTGGGAAAATCCCCACTGGTGACCAACCATCACAAGCAATTAACATATTTCCTCTCCCAGGGACCATTCCTGAGTCTAGTAGGCAGACAATTTAGTTAATCGAAGAGAGATGTGGCAGCATCCAGATCTGGCTTGAAGGCTTAACATTCTTTAAGTACCAGTACACTCCTTACAGAATCTCTGTCTTCACTTGTGACTGGGAACTTGTGGGAAAAAAAAACATGCTGCCCTCCCTGTGTGTGCTTTTGAGAGAGCACTGGGAGATACTGTTCGCCCACAAGAAGCACCAGAGCTGGTATTCCTCATACTCAACCACAGTTTTGGGAACCACCTTCCCCAAATTATCCCCTTCTAGATTCACAAATCATCCCAAGACCAGATGTTGACTATAAGAGGTCATCTCAACTCCAAAAAGTTTTGAGAAAAAAATTTAAAGCAACATTATTGTGAACTTCTTTTGGGAAACAAACTGAAGAGGTGGTAAAGGTTTGAAAGGCAGTGGCAAGTGTTAAGACCTCCCTTCTCTCCAGCTGCCTGGGTTTGGTCTGTACCTGTGCTCTGGACAACTGCCCCAGAGAGATGCCGAGTTGACTTCTGGCTTGAACTGATGCTGTCCGGTTGCTCTCGGCCACAGTAAGGGCTGAGGGGAAAGATGGAAACATTAAGATTGTGTGCTCCTGGAAGGGATCTTCTTGGCCATTTGTTAGTGTGACCTGAAGAAGGCAGCTTTGTGCCAAGCAATTCAGCAGATACTTAGACCAACTCCACCACAGGCTGGCTTAGTGATGAGGACAACACAAGCAGGAATGGCATTCGGGTCTCTGTCCCAGAGGGCTCATCATAGCCATCCAGACCTCACATGGACTTCCATTGTCCACCTTAGTTAGTTTATGCAATGGCTCCAGAATCCCATTTCCTCAGTCATAAAATAGGAGTGATCTTCCAAGTTCCCAGACTCATTAAGTTACTAAACCCAAGCTGTAGTGGTTCTCTTGATGTTTCATTGTTTATTCTTGCTTTCAACTAAAAGTCCCTAGAAGGGCTAGGCACCCCCACACATGTTGTGTCCCTTGAGGACTCCATACCCATCCATCCATCAGTGCATGTGAGTCGGATGCCCCCTTGTCACACGGGAGTTTCTGTGCAGGTGTTCAGTTCACTAAATGTGCAGTGGCATGGTTTGGATGTCATTTGTTCCCCAAGGCTCAAAGGTTCAACTGTTGAAAGTTTGGTCCTCTGGGAGGTGCTGTTGGGACATGGCTAAATTTTTAAAAAGGGAGGCCTAGTGGGATATGAGTAGGTCACTGGGGATGTCCTCCTTGGAAGGAATTAATTAGTTCCTAAGGGATCCCAGTTAGTTCTACAAGATAGAAAGTTGTTCTAAAAGGGCAAGACTGGCCTGGCCTCTAGCCCCATCTTTCGACAGAGTCTCTCTAACATGCATTCCTACAGTGTCATCTGCTATGAGATAAAGAAGCTAGGGGTGGGAGTAGAGGGCCCAACAGAAGCAGCACCATGCTGTTTGGATTTTCAGTTTTCAAAATGCGAGCTACTTAAACCCCTTCCTCCTTTTAATGTACCCAGCCTTGTTGATCATTTTTATAGCAACAGAAAACAGAATGGTGCACATAATTTCCACTAAGCAAAGACTGGTCTACACAGTAGACTGATGATGAATCAAGTGACCCAGGGTCACCTCAAAAACACACTCAGAGAGAAGCAGAGTGCAGAATGTAAGAACAGATGCCAATATATGTGTGCTTAGAGCTCTGGAAACAACCAGCACTGGATCTCCAGGACAGCCAATCACCAGATCAGTGTCACCCAGCCTGTCCCCAACACCAGGGAGGCTGTCCTCACCATGCTGATTAGACAACTGGACTGCAGCAGGGGATGTTGGTGCAGGTAGCCACCCATGGACCCTCTCAGGATCTCCAGGTTTGGGAGATGGAGCCTGTGGTGGGAGCAGGGCAGACCAAAACAGCTCTTTTCAAGCAGGTATCTACTCACCTTTGTATCTGGTCCTGTAGGGGAAATGTTAGCCACGCCCTCTTGGGGGCTGGCAAAGGTGAAGCAGACCAAGCACACTGGGGTGTGGTCAGAGTGATGTAGCAAGATTTTAAATACAAGGTTTGCATGCATGTGGCTCTCTCTCTTCCTCCTGCTCTCTTCTCTGCTCTGGAGATGCCATGTGATCCACCAGCAAGAGAGAGTGCTTACCACAGGCATCCTCCATAAGGTAAGTCTTATGATTACGGTTGATAATTAAGACTGAGCTAGCATATAAGAAATCCTAGTCAATTGGTCAACAGCATTGTAAAATAATATAAGACTCTTGTGTTATTTTGGGGCGGCCACGTGACCGAAGGGCATGGACGGCTGGCAGAAAGACTTATCATTACATGGTCCTGCTGCAAGTCCAATGCAATTTGACTAAAACCCACTAGGGCCAGGCTTGGACTTGCAAGGTATATGAGTCCGAGATGGGCCAACCCTCTGAAAGGTTTATTGGGGCATCAACATTCCAAGCCAGTTCACAGAGAGAGAGACAATGGCAGAGTCACCCAGGCTCAAGGGAAGGAAACATCCCAACACCCAGGGAGGACCTGAGAGAGGTTGGGACAGTGTTTCTGGTACCCTTTGAAGAATAGCAAGGGCTTATCTGGCTTTGGTTTCTGTGGCTCACATGATATGGGCCACCCAGGGAACCATCTCTCAATTGTTCAAAATCCATTTACTGTTGGCCACAAAAGGACAAATAGTATGTGAGTCAGTTGTTATATGAGGAACTTAGAGGAGTCACACTCACAGATAGAAAGTAGATAGTGTGTACCAAGGGTTGGGTTATGGTTAGGCTGTTGGAAGGAAGTGCTGAGGGGAGGTGGTTTCCATGTGGAAAAATGACAAGCCCCAACAGCAATTTGAATGTGCCCATGTCACTGCCATAGAAACAATAAAATATGATGGTTATGATGATTTTATGCTTCCTGTATTTTACCACAATTAAAGAGTCTCTCTCTCTCTCTCTCTCTCTCTCTCTCTCTCTCTCTCTCTCTCTCTCTCTCTCTCTCTCCCTGCCTTCCAAAAATCCATTTACTGAAAACTTCCACATTCTGGCTTCAGGGCTGAGGATACAACTGGTGCATTGCTATTCTTGGGAGTCTCTGTGCAGAGAGCAGACGGATGCAAGCATGTGCTTGCCGGGGTGGGCACATACAGGGAGGGCTGTCCTAAATGGAACCAGTGTAGCAGAAGAGACAGCCCTTTGCTGGGCACTCAGAAAAGCTTTCAAAGAAGTGATGAAAAGAAGGTGGCCAATATCTCTATCCTCAGAGGCTCCATGTAAGCAACTTCTGTGAATGGCACTGGTGATAGCAACCCCTCAGGGTCAATGACACAGGTTGCCCACCCTTCCCACTCTGACTCTAGCTTACATGCCTCAAATATTAAGCCATCAGAATGACCTGCTCTTCCACACCAAGATCTTGATTGGCCATTTCTGCTTACCTGTGAGCACCAGGAGGCATGGATGTGTCTGTGCTTCGAGTACTGAATTCTCAGCACCCACCCAGGACAGGCATACAGTAGATGCTGAAAAAACTACTCCAGTTAGACTGACAGACTTGCCCATGCCATGCCATCCCTCTGTCTGACTGAAAACAATTCTACCTGCCAATTAAGACTTGATCTCTCTCTCTCTCTCTCTCTCTCTCTCTCTCTCTCTCTCTCTCACACACACACACACACACACACACACACACACACACACACTGCCATACCTATGCCTGACTTAGGCCTGAACCCATCCCAACCACCATAAAAAAAGAGACAGGATCTTACCACCTCCCCTAGAGTTCAGAGCAAGTGCTAAAACACCAGTTGGAACTGAGCCCTGGTCACCCCCAGTATCTCTTTTATGACACACAACCTGGACTAATGCTCTCCCTTCCCTTGCTCACTACTTCCAAGCCCCATCGTCATAACCCTCAAGTCATGGGATCCTGTTGTGTTTCTTGATGAACTAGCAAATGGCCAAAGACTCAGATAAGTGGGATTTCCCACTTTGCCTAAAGGTTCCAGTAACCTCCTCTGACATGAGTTGTTAGGGACTGTGAAAATCGGACATTTAAAAAGTAGTGCAGAGGCAACATGATTTAGAGAAGGAGTGGGTTTGGTGGAGGCTCCAATTCAGCTTCCTGTTAGGGGGCAGACTGCCAGGCAATGCTGAAAAGTTCCTACATGGGAAGACACTGCAAGCCCCACTGTGCTCATGGCTGCCATGAGATATTTCTTAGGTGATTGCTATGATTTTAGTAAGTGTCATTCAGGGCCCATGTGTAGTTAAAGGCTCAGTCCCCTGCTGTGGGTCTATTGGAAAGTAGAAACTTTAGAGGTAATGCTTGGCAAGAGGTTATCTTAGATTGTGTTATTGTGAGAGAAACAATGTAAGGGAGGGGGATTTATGGTGGCCCAGGGTAAGGGTTTGAAGCCACAGGCCTTGGCAGCACTGAGTGCTGCTGCCGGGGCAAAGGAGAGCATCACAGAAGCATGTGGCAGAGACTGCTCACCTCATGCAGACAGGATATGGAGAGAGACAGACAAGATGAGGGACAATAGACTCCTAAGGACCTGTCCCCAGTGACCTACTTCTTCTAACTAAATCACATTCCTCCGAGTTTCCAACATTTCCCAAAATAGTGTCACCAGGCAGGAAGCAAGCTTTCAGTGTAAGGGATTTTTTTTGAAAGACACTTCCTATCCAAATATTAACAGAGGTCTTGAGGAATGAGAGAGTAGACCCCCAGTTCCTTCCCCTTGCTAGCCTTTTTTTTTTTTTTTGCCACCCACAAGAAATGAATGGGCTTCTTTTACCACGTACTCCTGCTGTGATGTGCTGCCTCACAACAGGTCCAAAATCAGTGGGGCCAGTTGGTTATAGACTGAAACTGTGAGCCTGAATTAGCCTGACCTCTTTTTATTACCTGGGGAATTTCTTTACAGTAACAGAAAGCTAGCACAATGGCCTGGGATAGGTCATTGTTACTTCTACATTTTCTATTTTTCTTTACATTTTAAATTATATGTGTGCATGCATACGTGTGTGTGTGTGTGTGTGTGTGTGTGTGTTCATGTATGGGGACACACACATGCTACGGTGTGTGTAAAAGTCAGAGGACAACCTGCAGGGGTTGGTTTCCTCCTTCCACTATGTGGATACCAGGAGCAGAACTTGCATTGTTAGGCATGGCACCAAACACCTCTGGCTGCTGTCTCTTCACAGTTCTCCTTCTGCTGGTAAACAATGCAGAGTTATATAGTACTTTAAACCAAGGACAGGTGAAAGATACTACAAACCCACTGACACTCACACATTGGGATGAGGCCCATTTCTAGTCCCTTTGAATTTGTATAAAGGCAGGAGCAATGACAGGAATGAGGACACACTGTCTCTGGGATACATGTTATGACATTGGCAAGCTCTTCCCAAATTTGCAGAGCCCAGAGCAGCAGTGGAGACCCTTGCTGGAGCCAATGCATGGAAAGGGCCTCCTGAGGCTGCACAGGGGTCAGAGGGTACCAGCATGAAGCATATCCCAGGGGGTACTGCTGAAGACCACCATGATGCCATGTATACAACAGGCACTGCTGATGACTCCCATGATACCCTCAGTACCATACAAAGCAGAGTTTTGCCTCCTCTGCTAATCCACAAAGTTGTGAAGCAGAATAACAAGATGGCTGCTGGAATACACCACTGTTCTTGGGGTGGTTTGCCATGGAGACTAGAATGAGTTTTGTTTCCTTGTTATTGATTGATTTTGTACAGCATAGTGAGGTGAATTTGCATCAGCAGAATTGGGGCAATAATTCTCTAAGCATTACTTTAGGGTATCTGTGTATATGCATGTATTTCAGCACAAGTGAATCATCTGTTCTCTCCTGCTGAAGCAGATGTATAATTCATCTTCCCCCAAAAGCGGATCCTGACACCCCACCCCCTCCTCAGTACACAGCCTGGGAATCAGTGCTATTTATGTAACTTGCCTTGTAAGTGTAATCCAAGTTCTAGGCTATTTTTAAATGTATGGATCATTGTTTTACAATGAACACTGCATTTATGAGCCCACTGCTTTCACATTTGATTTAAATGGCAAGCCATCATCCTGGAAAGTAGCATGTCAGGGTTACCAGTACAGTCTCCATAATGGGCTGCTGGTTTTAAGTCCTAGCACTTCATTTTCTCTTCTGGAAAATAGAGATAATGATAAAAACCAACTTCTCAGAGGTGTATGGGTTGGAGAACGAGCTCCAAGAGTGGTGGTACCTGGCTTATGTTAATCCAAAGGTGATTGGTGGCATTTGCTAATTTTACCTTCTTCAACTTCCCATTACCACCCAGCTCTTTCTCTACTGGAAGTTATGAACAGAGGAAATGGGAGTGAGACCTGGTCCCATGGCCATCAGTTTAATCACTGTAGTGGTCTACAGTCAATCTCTGAATCAAGTTCAAGGCAACCCAGTGAACACACCCGTTCCTTTGGCATTAAAAAACCTGCTTCAAGTACTGAGAGTTCCAGTCCACCACGCATGTGGCAGTCTTGGCACTTCAGGTACAGATGGTTCCAGTGCTCCATACACCTGGTAGTCTTGGCTTTGAAGAAAGACAAAACCCACCTGCTTCTGATTCCTTCCATCTTGATCTCCTTGCCACCTTGCACGTTCTCCATGGATGTGCTCAGTCTGCCTCCAGTGGCATCCGGCAACCTGGGTACACACAGCTCATTTTCCGAGCATGACAGTTTCTGAATCCAAGTGAGAGGGTTGGCCTGTGTCTGGTGTGCAGAATTCAAGTTGGCTATTTGTACAAACTTATCCCGATCTGAATTGAGAGATAAAAGACAAACATACACACAAGATTACACTGGGTTCAGTCACGGCTCTTGATACAACCATACACTTCTGACCCTGATTGTCCTTTCCCACTTCTTTTTCTGCACCGAGAGACTTGACATTCTGCCTCCTGCTAACCTGGGGAATCCTGTGCCTATCCCTGAAAATTCAAGTCCTTCTAAGCATTACTTGCTAATCAAAGACACTTCAGAAGCCTGAGATGCAAAATGGTCCCTGCAGCTGATGGAGTGGCAGCCAGGAACCTGTTCTAACTGGTGCCACTCAAAGCTTCAGCAGGGCCACACCTCATTCTGCATTCATCCTCACAGATATGCCCTTGCAGAGAGTCCTATAACAAATCACCTAGACCCCAAATCAGTCTCTTCCCCTGGCAGTATTAGTCCATGTAAGAGTTCCCTGCCAGATATATAAGAACACATTAGAAGTGAGGACCTTCAGCTCTGATGTGTTTCTTTCCCCCTTCTTATAAGGCTTAATAAATGTCTCTAGTGATGAGACTATGATCAAGAGGAATGCCTCCTTTGCTGTTTGTATTATTCATATAGGAAATTGAGATCTTATTAAAAGATCTCTTAGGTTAACAAGGCCTTGCTCAAAACTGCACCTATTGTGCTGTTGTTAGGGTTTTTATTTGTTCATTTTGTTGTTTTGTTTGATATAGGGTTTCCAGTAGTCCAGGCTGGTGTGGAACTGTCTTTATAGTCAAGAATGACTTTGAACTCCTGATCCATCTGCCTCCACTCCCCAAGTGCTGGGATTACAAGAATGAGCCAACACACCTAGCTTTTATTTTTATTTGGAGAAAGGAAAATGTCGACTCTCTTTAAGGTCATCTGCTCCCTCCTGAAACCAAGAAGGAAGGAGTATAACAGTAGCAGCAGAATCAGTATCCATGGCCACCCTCTTCCTTTTCTTTTCTTTTTTGTGTATGTGTAGCGTACATGTATGTATAAGTATGTGGTATCTTCATGTACATGTGGGTAGAGATGTAGATGGGATGGGCATCATATGCATGTCTTTCAGTTATCTTTGCACACATGTGCCATGGCTGTCAGAGGTAGAAGTATTTATATCTGTGTTATGATGTGTGTAAATGCATGTATGCACGCTCATTAAAACACTCTGCAAGGAGAGAATGAGGAATATTTGACTACTTGAGCAGACTCTCTTTTTTCTGGTTTGTTGAGAGGGCTGTTCACCCTGAACAAGCTAGCCACTAAAATGAATTACTTGTTGAGAATTTGGGAGTATAAACGGACTGTGATATCACTGCTTACATAGAGTGAGCAAGAAAGGGTGGGGCAATGTAAGTAATTTGAATATGACCTGTAGCTTTTGCACAGATTTTATACTCTTACTCCATAACTTGGGTCTGCGAGGAAGAAGATAATACTGGTAGCTAGTTCTGACTAAATGTGTCCTATGTGACAGAATCAGTAGCAAGCATTATCACTTCCCTTGTCTCACACAGTCCTCACCATAACTCCCCGGGGTGGATAGTGTACCTATTTTACAGATAAGAAAATTTGAGAAGGGATAGTTTTCTCCTGATCCCAAGGCTGGTTAGTAGTAGAGCAGGTTTTACACTTAGTCCACTGGCTCCACAGTCCACACTAGATAGTGGGAGTTATACAGACACTGAACCACAGACGGCAGCACCAAAGATTCACATAAGTACCCCAGCCTTCTCATTACCAAGTCTTGAAGGAGAAGTCACCTTGTACTTAACCATGGTGGATGGAACACTTCATGCCTAGAAGGGATTTCTAGGCAGATATGGAGGAGACCAGTCTTCCAGAGAGATTTAGTGGTTTGAAGCAGGACTGGACAGAGACTGGCATTCGAGGAAGCAGCTGTCCCTAGAGAAGGGGACTCACACAGGAAGCAGAGGAGTAAAAGCCCCACATGTCTGGTTCTTCAGGAGCTATGTTCCCAGAGAATGTTGGGAGTTGAGCAGGCCTTAGTATGCAGGATAGAGATCACACGTCAAGGTGAGAGATGGAGATCATAGAGGCTAATACTCAGCACGACAGACTCTGCACAAGCAAGGCACCAATATCACAGGTCATGTTCCACAAACAGGGCCAAGACCAGATAGCACAGTGATACAGAAACGAGGGTACCAGTGTCACCAGGCAACGACTCCATGGTGCTCTACTAGTGTACCAACAGGTAGGAAGGAGAGCCAAGAGTTCTGGTCTCCCAGGATTAGAAGCAAGGGTTGTTGAGAATGTCCCAAAGACACTGGCATGCTAAGAGGGAGGTATCTGTCTGTTGGCTGTGGGTGACTCCACAATGTAATTTTAATACCAGTAAAGTAGCTGACAAATGACTGGCTCTGTCTGGATGTTAAGGCTCCAGTCCAAGTTAGTTATAGCATCCTAGAGGCAACCTGAGCTAAGGCCACTAGGAAAAAAATCACAGGTGTGAGACCAGAGCAATCCTGCAAGCATAGGTTCAGAGAAGGGCTAAGCACATCCCACAGTCTAGGACACACCCACAAAAAGGACTGACAAAGTCTGGGCTCACTAGGTAGTGATGACAAATCTTGCCTGATTCTATCCTGGAACTGTGCACTTGTGGGAGCTGGAGATTTTTATTTATCCCCAGGGATCCAAATATAACTATGAAATAAAGTGCCTGTTGAGACAATTCACAGAAGGATGGCTAAGAGACATTTGGAAAATGTTCAACTTTTCAACCATCAAAGAAGCAAAACAAAGCCACAGTGAGAGATCATTTTTATCTGTCAACTGAACACACAAAATGCAGTGGAATCTACTCTTTGAGATTAAAAATAAAATAAAATAAAGTTGGATAACAAGGAGCTCCAGCATTCCAGCATGACATTCAGAGACACAGTGAGGCCTTAAAAATTCCCTGGTTTGGTACCCAAAGTTATACTTCTGAGGTTAAGAAATGACATGGAAGCCAGAAAAATATTTTTCTAATGTTGTTTGCCACAGTTGCATTTGCAATATTGAAATGTATGCATCAAAAGGAAATTATTAATTAGTTTTATTTCCATACAGATCATCCATCCATCCATTTATCCAAGAGACAGGTATTAGAGGTAGACTCTGTAGTACATGAGTATAGTCCAGCACCTGGAAGGCTAGGGCTGGGAGATCATGAATTTAAGGCTACTCTGGGATACACAGAAAGACTGTCTCTAAATTAATCAGCAAATAAATAAATAAATAAATGCATGTATATATCACTTCTTATTTGTCATACCTCTGTTCCACATTAGAACTGGGAAGGCTGTGAGATACGGTGCCTACTTTGAAGAAATTTCTCCTCTATCACAGCAAATGTCACAGGTGAAAGACAGGTCTACAAAAGGAGGCAGTGATCCACTCCACCCAGGAAGGAATCAGATGAGAAGAACCAATCAGGAGAGGCTTCAAGATAGAAGCTTTTAACTTATCCTAGGAGAAGCAGACTTATCTTGGTAGCCTGATCCCAGGAGGGTTAAGAAAAGCATGGCAATGGAGGCCACTGTATTGTTGTTACTTTTCTATTTGCAGTGACCAAATACCTGACCTAACACCTTAATGGAAGAAGGTTTTATAGCTCAAGGGGAAGTCTGGCATGGTGGGGAAAGCATGGCAGTGGAAGCATGAGGTTGCTAATTGCATTGCTTCCCCCAAGCAAAATGCACAGAGCAACAAATGTAGATGCTAAGTTTTCTTTCTCCTGTTTTATCCAGGACGCCAGCCTGCGGAAATGGTGTCATCTATAATTAAAGTGGATCTTTCCACTCAGGTAACCCAGTCTAGATACTCCTTCATGGGTATGCTTGGAGGCTTGTCATCTAGGCATTTCTAGATCCTGTCAAGCTGATAGTCAATATTAACCATCACAGCCGCTGAGCACCAAGACACAGAAGACTGGGATGTGGTTTTCAGCCTCCATCATCATGGCATGCAGGACAGTTGAAAAACAAAGAGAGGTATCAGAACAAGAAAGAAGTCAAGGCTGGGGCCAGACTGGGAAGAGTCCCCTTGGAATGTGGGGCTTGTCTCCCTGCTTAGCACAACTAGATCAGTCCATTTGAAAGGCCACTCCAAAGGCTGAAAGGCCAGTTAACAGGATGCTAACACAGACAAATGACTATCTGGGAGCATGTGGTAAGGTGTAGGGTAGGAAAGGAGGGTGTTAGTCTAGATTCCAGTTTCCTTGGTGAGTGAAGAATGGTCCCGTTTGAACAAGATAAAGATCATGTCAAAGGGAAGGGGTTGAAAGAGACCTACTGTGGAAACAAGTTTGGGGACTGGTAGAGGTGGTCTGCTCTCCCTTCCATGTAGCATCGAAAGTGATGTCCAGGTTCTGGAGAGATTGCTTAGTCCTGCAAGCACCAGGATCTGACTTTGAGCCTCAGAACTAACATATAAAAGACAGGCACAGAGACACATGTTTGGGATCCCAGTGCTGGGGTATGGGGGGAGACTGACAGATCCTTGGAGCTCCCTGGCCAGGCAATCAGTAGCCCCAGGCAGTCAGTGGTAGATCCTGTCCCCAATAAAACAAGATAGACAGCTCCTGGGGAAAGATATCTGAGCTTGTCCTCTGGCTTTCATATGCATGTACCCACATACAATACGCACACACAAACACACACACACACACACACACACACACACACACACACACACTGAGGGATGAGGGAATGGAGAATGGTATCTGCAGAGACTTTCTCAGAGAGTTTTTTAAAAGGCAAAGGGGAATTGGTTATGAGGGCATTTAATGTAAATAAAACGGTAGAGTCCTGGAAACCACTAAGATGACAGAATTTGACATTTGAGAAAACAGTATTAGGAGTAAAATAGGCCTGGAAGGACCAATTTCACAAATGAGCTCAAAATGCCTGTCTAAATATTTATGGTCATTGAAATCAGGCAATAAAAACAGTATTGGTAGTGTTTCACACACAGCAATAGCAGGAAACTCAGGTACAATTAATTTGCATTTATCATTTCTGGATACTTGGAAATCTCCTGAAATCAGCAGTCTGTGGTTTCAGAGACATAGTCAGGGGTTTGTTATATTACAGACCAGAGGTTACTTTTAGACCTGGATTTGGTCCTATTTCTGAAAACTTCAGTCTTGCTCTCCAGTTCATTCAGGCCATGGACTGACCCCTAAAGCCCAGTGTCAAGACCTCTGTGTATATTGTCTGGAACAGAAACAAAACCCATAGGTAGAAGCCACTGTCACCATTTTCACAGTACACTGAGCACTGGTCACACTAACTAGTGTGATGTGACTGTATGGCCTTATTTAAGCCATTAATATCTTAATTATATCAGTAATACATGCTAAATAAAGTTTAATACTGAGAAATATTAAGAAAATAGCCATGCTTGTGTATGTAACTCCTTAAGGTAGTAAGATTTTGGTTTTTCTGGTACCAGGAAAAACCTCAGGAATCGACAAGGATGACCCCAGCTAAGATTCATAGCAATAGTGTATAGAGTGCCAGAACTGGCCTTCTCCTGTAATCAGATTGGTGACTACCCTAATTTCATCAGAGAGCATTCATCCAGTAATTGATAAAAGCAGATGCAGAGATCCATAGTCAACCACTGGGACAGGATCAGGGAGTCCTGCTGAAGAGAGGGAGAAGAGATTGTAGGAGCCATGGGGCAGGGGTCAAAGTCAAAACAGAAGAACCCACAGAGACAGCCTGACCTGAGCTAGTGGGAATTCATGGACTCTAGACCAACAGCTAAGGACCTTGCATGGGACTGACCTAAAACTTCTGCATATATGTGACAGCTGTGTAGCTTAGTCTGTTTGTGGGGCTCCTGGCAGTGGGATCAGAACCTGTCCCTGGTGCTTGAACTGGCTTTTGGGAACCTATTTCCCATGCTGGGTTGCTTCACCCAGCCTTGATGCAGGGGGTGGGGGAGCTTGGTGCTGCCTCAACTTGACATGCCATGTTTTGTTGACTCCCATGGGAGGCTTGTCCCTGAATGGAGGAGTGAATGGGGGGTGGTAGATGGGAGGGGGAGCAGGAGGGAGGAGAAAATGTGGTCAGTAAGTAGAATAAATAAAAAAATAATTTTAAAAGATTTTGGTTTTGTTTATTTCTGTATTAGTTCTTGTTTTATAGTGAATGTTAACCACATGAATATATATAAATTATCCATTTAAATTTAAGCATAAATCACTAAAACTTAAGCAAAATGACAGGTTCAATTTCTAGGTTACTCCTGCTACCATTTAACTGGCTCAATATTACACCTGGCTGGTGTCCCACCCCCTACTGAAGGGTGGAGATGTTCCATTAAATGCTACAATCCTCTCTTGCCCTTCCTCGCTCAGCCCTGTACCATGGACAGTTCCACTTGCCACCAACTTCTGTACTTAACTATCTCAGGATAAATATCTACAGCAAAATTGAGAGTTCAAAGACATATAGACCTTTCAGCTTTTACAAAGTTAGATGGGTGGACAAAGGGAGGGAGGGACAAGGGAGAGAGAAAGAAAGGGAAGAAGGGGAGAGGGAAAGGAGACAGACTGGCAGGGAGGCAGACAGACAGAGCTCCAGTTGTGTTCTGGAAAGATTGTATCCATTTTTCTTCCAGTGTTATTTCCACTTTCATCATTCTGAGAATGAAATCTATACTTCATTTTTACTGTGTTTCTGCCATTGTTGGCTATGATTTTTAGACTTTTCAGCTATTTGTGGGTCAACTACATCTTTTCATACAAATTATTTTATGAGCAAGCAAGCCTGTCTGATTGTGTGTTGCTAGTACAGTATATACTCACCACTTAAAAGATGAGGAGGCTGCTCAGAGCCCATCTGTGCATTAAACCAGTGCTGGGCAGAGCAGAGACCCAGCAAATATTTACAGGTCTTGGCTGAATCGGTGACAAAGGTGTACTTTTTTCCAGTGATGCTGCTGGTGATGGTGAACTTTCTTCTCTGGAGGAATCAAGCACAGACTTAGAACTCTGACCATCCCCATGCTTCCCTCAAAGTACATTTATACAGAGAGCAATAAAAAACCAGCTCCTCAATTCAATATCAACACAGTTCCTGAAGTGCAGGGTAAGGGCTGACAAAGGCCCAATTTCTTTCTTAGACAATGGCTAAACAAAGTCCTTCTATTTATTTTTCTCCTTCATTTGTGAGCCAAATGTTTATCATTTAATTGCTATTGTCAAGGAGTGTGCTGGGCGGAAAAAATATGAAATGAGTCAGTGGACAGTTGGTCTTCACAAGTACATTACAAAATGGCCAGCAAGCATCCCCACTGCTTTTACTGTACAAGCTCCAAGCTTCTTGTTCTGATGAGACAGGGAGCCCACAGATAACAAGCAGGCAGCTGCACTGTAATAAGCAAGCAGAGAAACTGAGCTGTAGTCAGAACCAGCCACCACCAAGGCAGCAAAGAAACTGAAGGAGAACTGACCCGGATCCTCATTATGCCTCATTATGCTACATTAGCATAGTGAAAGCTTCCCGAGGGAGAGATAGAACAAAAATACAGCAGTGTTTTGAGCAGTGTGCAAAGTGGCACATGCATACTGGAAGCCTCCTCCCTTATCTGGAAAAAGAATGAAAACAGAAACCCTTCTCCACATCTCCACATATTGCAACCCAAATCTTTGTTTCTGGCTCCTCTGCCTATGTGACATCCTGATTCTTTTCTGTAATAAAATTTCACTTCTTTTAATTTCTGTCATAGCCAAGACAAAAGGCCCTACAAAAGGTGCCTGGGTAAGAATTAAGCTAAGAATTTTGTGAGCATTTATACCCCTTGTCACATGGCTACAGAATGAGGACGCATTCTTTACCCTAAACATGACCTAGGAATCCTGGAGTCTAGAAACAGATTTAGAATACTCAGACTCCACATCATGGGTGTGGTGGCCCACTCCTTTAATCCCAGCACTCTAGAGGCAGAGGCAGGTGAATCTCTACTCCAGCCAGGCTACATAGTGAGACCTTGTCTTAATCAATCAATCAATCAGTAAAATAAATAAAATCTGATAACTATTCTCAAACATATTTGAAAAGGGAGAAACACACACACTCACACACACACACACACACACACACACACACACAGAGAGAGAGAGAGAGAGAGAGAGAGAGAGAGAGAGAGAGAGAGAGAGAGAGAGAGATTCTTTCAATGTATTAACTATTAACAAAACTCTCCCATTGGGTGCCAGCGCTCCAAGGGTGTGGTGGTTTGAATGAAAAAATGCCCCAGAGTCTTGAGTATTTTAACACTCGGTCTCCCCATTGGTAGTGCTGTTTGGGGGTTATGGAACCTTTAGAAGGTAAAGCTTTACTGGAGAAAGTACATCACTGAGGATGGGCTTTGCCCCCATTTCCTGTTCACTCTCAGCGGCTTCACATGTGCCACTATGCCGTGTTTTCCTTGCCATTATAGAAGATCTTTCTGGAAACTCTAAGCCAAATAAACTTTTAATTTTATAAATTGCTTTTGGCTGTGGTGTTTTATCACAGCAGCAAAAATGGAATTAATCTAAAGGAATTTGAGAGAAAGTAAAACGCCCACTGTTTCTGGGCATAGGTCTAATGATGCTCTTGATGGTAGTGGATTGGAGTTTATGTCTGTTTATCACCACTTACTAGAATTCATACCCATAGCAAACTGCTCCTTGAATAACGATGCAATAAGAGTATAGAACTCTAACCTCAGAGTGTTTTAGCACAAACTGGACATCTTTTCTTAGACTCCCATTATTGCAGGTCCTTCCACAATACTATATTTGTTTCTTAGCATCACTTTCCCATTCTGAAACAGTTTATACCCAGAAGTTTCATTGTTATTGTTGCTTTGTTCCAGTCCATTTGCTTTCTCACCTGTTTCTTTACATACATCTTTGCAATTACATCCTTCCAGACAGGGACAGATTTGTCCACGAACAGAGCTCATGAAGCTGAAGCTCCAGCACCCTCGCCTGGTCACACACTTTCCTGGAGCCGCCCTGGCTATGTGTATACATGTTCTGGTAATATTGGAAAGCAACATGTTTCCACCATAGCTGGCTAAGACCATTGACACTCTTTTCCCCCTCTGCTCTAATCAGGATCTTAAACATCCATCAAAGGAGCACAATTGGGAATTGGGCCTTTAGTAGGTGGAGCCTCATGGGAGGAAGTTAGAACATGAGAGCATGCCCTTGATGATGGTACTGGGGCACCAGTCTCTCTCTCAACTTATTTACTCCCTGGCCATGATATGTAAGTGTCCACCCAGCTCTCTGCCATGCTGTGCTGCTTCACCACCAACTCAAAGCAGCACAATAAGCAGCCACATGACACTCTGAGCAGCATAAATCTTCTGCATTTATAAGCTAATGCTCTCAGACATTCATTATAAGTCAAGAGAGGAGAAAAGCACACTCTCCTTCCTAATTCGGCTCTCCCACTGGGTAGTACTGGGTGGACTGGGAGTAGATCCTTTTAAGGAAAAACAAAATGAAATTAGTAGAGTGTCTCTATGCCACTTGCAGTTATCTTTTACAGTGGCTACATTGTGGTCAGGTGTCTCAGAACTCACTTTCCTTGGGCAAAACCATGCAGGTCTCTGCACGAGGACCAGAAGCCACTTGAAACTAACCATGTGCTAAGATACTGAGCTCCTAGGAGGCAGCAAAAATGTACAGAGCCCGTGGCTGCTCTGAGGCAAAATTTCACAGTCATCATAAATTAAAAACTAAAATTTAGTTCTCAAAAATACCCGATCACAACACATTTATTTTTAATAGCAAACGAGTAAGATAGGATTTGTTAGATTGCCAGCACTTGGGACTGGGATATAGTTCATAGATAGAACACTAGCCTACCATGTATTCATCTTTAGTGTCATCTCTAGGACACCACCACCACCACCTCCAACACCCAAATAATCCCTGCATTTGTAGCACAGACACTTATAACAACTCACAATAAGCAAACTGCATGCTTTACCTAGCCTACTTCAACTATACTAAAAGATATGTTAAACAGTATTTTTATTCCCTCTGGATAGAATGACATTATAAAATGTTGTCACATGAAAAACAAGAAAAGGATATACCACCCTAAATTTGAAAAGAGAGAGCATTGCAGGCTTTGCCAGAGAGTTAGTTGGTAGAGTGTTTTTCTGGCACTTGCACTATTTAAAAAGTATGTCCTCTGGTTTTTTAAATCTTCAACTTTGGGGGTTCCTTTTCTTATTCTAAGCAACATTCCCTTTCATGATGTAGCTGCTATTTGCAATTTTACATATTTTGCTTAAAGAGGCCATGTATAGTCCTGTATGGTCTGGTCTGTTCCACGCCTTTATCTCCAGAGATTAGAACTAATGCTTGAAAACACTATAGTTACCGATAGATACCATTAGGTCCTTGTTCTAGAAGGAATGGTTTTTGATTGAACAATCAAGTATACATAGATGCCAAGGCATCCAGGGATTACATTCTTTGAAAACAGCATCCTTGCCAGGTGGTGGTGGCACACACAGCACTCAGGAGGCAGAGGCAGGCAGATCTCTGTGAGTTCAAGGCCACCCTGGTCTACAAAGGGAGTTCCAGGACGGTCATGACTGTTAACAAAGAAACCCTGTCTCAAGAAAGAAAGAAAGAAAGAAAGAAAGAAAGAAAGAAAGAAAGAAAGGAAGGAAGGAAGGAAGGAAGGAAGGAAGGAAGGAAGGAAGGAAGGAAGGAAGAAAGAAAGAAGAAAAGAAGAGAAAAGAAAAGAGCATCCTCCTTCCCTGGCTACTTCCCTACAGGGTAAAAAGAAGAAAGAGACGTGATGGAACATCTTGGCTCCAGCTATTAGTAAACAAAACTGAAGCTAGCCTCCTGAACCAATCTCACATTACTCCACACTCACTCACTACCTGCAGAAGCACAAAGAACCATTTTCTGTGGAAGACGCTTAACTGGCCAGAAGCAGCTGGTGAAATTACTGAACAAGATGACTTTTCAAAATATTTGTGCCAAGGAGGAAGCTGATCATCAGGGTACAGGAATCCTAATTAAACAGTTGTTTTGAGCTTGTGAACTTGATGACTTCCCAGATTTAATATTTTAAAAAAATTTTGGCCTAATAATGAGAAAACAAATACCTGTAAAACTAAATATATAATTGTGAGGTGTGTGTGTGTGTGTAAATAAACTTTATGGCCTCAAAATTGTCTATGTTTTAAAATTACTACTTAGAGAATCTGTATTTAGACAAATCACACTGAATCTTTGATTAGTTAAACTTATAGTGAGGAGACTAAGAAAAAATTTAATATTGTTGAATTTCAAACACATTTTGAATTCTTTAAATATCATTCAATTAAATTAAAATTCTGAAACTTTATGAATTCCATTATATATATACATATATGTATATATGTGATTCTATTATATATCATACATTGACGATATTAATTTCAAAAATCAAAAGACCACAAAAAGTATCCAGAAATTCAGAAATTGAATAAAAGCAACCATATTTTACCTAGGAAATGCTAATATCAGATAATAAAAATAATGATCTAACTAGGAGAAAATTTTAAACAATAGGAGTAAAGTAAACAGAAGAAAAACTGAAAGGGTATATGGGCCAAAAGGCAAAAAGCTTTGTCTTCAGTGAAATACAAATACTGACCTGGATAGCCCTGTGACAGGCAGGGACAGTCAACTACCAGGTCCCAGTGCCAAGATGATAGAAACTAAACTGGGAAACTGAATAGTTAAAAAGGCATTTTAATATGATTTGAAATGGACAGCTGCTGGGGTTTTACATATTTTAACTTTTCAGTGGTCATCCGACACTCTGTCTGCCAGGGTACCTGCAGTTCACCCAAGACACACCAGGTGCCTGTATGTGCAGACTCCACTCAGCCTTCACTCCATTCTCTTCCTTTGGATCCCACTTGTCCTTGCTTTGGCCACAGATGGGCTTCTCAGGTTAAGAAGAATGCATGGAGGGAAATGTAGCACTTTAGGCTACAGGCTATTTATGGAGGCTTGTGAGCAAGCTGGCAAGAGAGCACGAAAAAAAGGGGGGGAGACTTCCTGGGGATCACCAGACCCCACCCGTGAAGAATTTGATCTCCCCAAATATGTCAGTGACTATGTCAAGAGAGATTCATGTAGCCAATGCCACTTAAAGGGGCTGCAGGTCAAAGGAAAGGGAGGCATAGGTGGCTAGCAACTGAGCTTCACTCACATGAGTTGAGATCATTCCAGTTTCTCTCCATGGAAACTGTGATGTTGCGATCCTGCGGCTGCTTTTCACCTCGTAAACTATGATACCTTTGGCACAGACCCCCAAGGCCATTTTCCCTTCTGGTCTCTTCTTCTCAGGAAAAACCCGGTGAACTAGGACTCCATATTCTGGGAGTTGCTGAACAACCTGGATGGAGGAAAAGGCCAACTTAGGACCCATGAATTGACTGGTTCAAAATCGTGACCCTCAACCCCTTATGTGGAAAAATCCATTGTTGCCAAAGCAAGATGAAGAAACATCCAGTTAGACATTTTTTTCTCACTCTGGAATCTATCTAAACCTTTGATATGATGACATTTTTCCTTCTTTTTTTGAACCTAAAGAATCTTTTATTTGTAGAATACCAAAAAAAAAAAAAAAAAAAAAAACATGGGAGAACATTCTTATAAATACAGGACACTAGCATATAAATATGGTGAACAAGTATTTTTTATGATTCAGAATCTCCTGGGACATCTCAAGGTTAGGGGCTCCCTTCCCAAACTGTGTCAATCATATGGTCCCATCTTTTCATGTTCCAGTTGCAAAAGCTGAGGCATGGGCACAAAAAGTAGCCTTCAGGTCATTATCAAGGCTATCAAAGAAGGCTGTGCCGAGAGCAATCTGCAGGGGAAATGCCTGTCACTCCAGCATGCCTTTCTACTAAGCAATACCTCTGTAGGATCATCATAGCCCCATCCCTTTGCCTAGTTTACCAAGCTAAGGGATTGAATTTTCCAAAAGGGCCAGGGTTAATCGAAGTTGGTGGCTGAAGCAAGCCAATTGAATTCTCAAGAGAATTTCAGATGTGAACTCAATTTCAGATGTGTTTTATTGTCTGAACAGCTATCCCACGGCCAGGAAGTCCTCATCAGAAGGTTGCTGCCCATAGATCTGCAGGAAGGGCTTCCTGTTCCAGACATCTGACAGCCTCTCAGACAGGCTTCAATGGTGAGATCTGGTGCCCTTTCTCTATCCTCAGAAGACTGCCATGTCCTATCAATATGATCTTCCTCATTCCCAGGCACAGTTATAGACAGAGACCAATTGGAAATTTTGTTAATTTTGTTAATTTTGCTGATCTCTTACCTGTTGATGAATAATTGAATCTGAAAATACCCTGGCTGTCTGTAAGATCATGATTAAATGTCTGGATGTTAAGCCTCCTGCTTTCAGCTTGAAAGAGACACTGTCATCACTGTCATCATCGTTGTTACCATCACCTCATCATCATCATCATCAACATCATCACCACTGTCACCCAAAAAATGCTGAGCACTTGTATTGAAATATCAATGACCAAGAAGGACATTGATTAAAGTATAACAAAGAGAGGCTTCCCAAGACATTGTGCGTGGCATTGTAAAAGAATTTGATCAACATTGTTTTAAAGCACCGAAGTAAATAGTCAATGTGAAAATTAAGATGCCTTTTCTAAACTTGCTTTTTATCCTAAACCCTTTTTTTAACTGTTTAGCATCAACTTTTCATTTTTGTTTTTTAATTATTCTGTAAAGGTACTTGAGTACTGATAATACCTGCTGCCAGCCACAGCCAGGTATTGTTTCATTATTGTTGAGTTTTCATAACAATCATAAGACAAAGGTGTAGCTGTCTTTTTCCAAAGGAGAAAATGGAGGCACAGAGGGAGGACAGAAGGTAGAAGTAATTGGGTCAGTTACTCAGGTCAGTTAAACTTTTATTTTTGTCTCTGCAGGCCAAGTTCTTCAACTGAAAATAAACTTTAGTTTTGTTTTGCTTTTCACAAAATCCAACATTTTAATGAGGGTATATATTTCTTCTGTTCTTATTGTCTAAGGAAGTCACAAAGAAACTAGTTGTTGGGGCTGGAAAGATGGCTTAGACCTGAGCTCCATCCCTAGCACCTATGTAAAAAGCCGGATGTGGTGGGATCACTGGCCAGCTTGCCTAGCCTAATTGGCAAGCCCAGGCCAAAGTGAGAGGCCCGGACTCAAAAACAACCTAACACCCATCATACAAAGAAAACAGCTACTGACATCTCAGGAATTCTTTCCTGTTTTTAAATCTATAATTGCTTTAACAGAGCATGTAACAAGTAACCATGGCACCTGAAAAGGCTTGATGCTCCCTATCATCACTTGCCAGTTGACAAGTCATGTTTGGTCACAAAACCAAGCATCATTAGGACCATACTCAGGTGAGGGATATAAAGATTTTGATGGCATAGCTATTCTTCATTAAGCAGCTATGTGTTATTTGGACATTATCAGTGGCTGTTCTGCCCAGACTACTTCGCTGCCTCTTTTGAAGTTCCGCCTGGGTTCACATTCACACAGATTCACCAGCTGTGGCTAAGGATGCTCAGCCTCCCCTTTGTTTCCAATATGCTTAGGTTACCCATGTAATGCCAGCTTCTGTTTTCTGTCCCTGTTGATGTAAATGCCTAAAATATCAAGCCCCGTTGGAACAAATATAAAGCAAGGTACAGGGCCATGAAAGCAGTTTGTGGTGATACATTTGAGTCTATGTGGTTATACTTATGTGGTTCAATTTGGAAATAATGCTTTCAATTTCTTTTTACTGCATATATCAGAACAATTTTCTGTTATTGGATATGATGTTCAAACTTTTGGGTTAGCAAGCTTAGAAAAATATCAGAAATAAATTCTCCTGTATCTGAGAGATAAATCATTCAACTGATGAAAATAACCTGCCTAGATTCCCTGGAGGCAGGAATGGGAATCTCAATAGAGGAGTCTGTTTGACCCCAAGAATTCACTCTCAATAACTAAACTTTAGAGCATTTCTGAAGACTGGGAACATAGATAACTAAGCATAATGTCTTCTGGGGCATCTTCAATCTGTTCAAAGTAAAATAACATTATCTGTCTCCTGCCTTCCTGCCACGGTTCCCTGTTCTTCCAGCAGCAGATAGCAAAGTGACCAAGCACTCCTAACTGTTCCTTGCTGTACTGAAAACTGCAGGTCACAAATGGATTGTTCTTCCTAATTCACAGCAATTTGTATGCTTTGGCCCTATAATTCCATTTCTGAGAATGTACTCCAGGAAAATGTGCTGCGTAACCAGGCAAATCCTTCCCTTAATTTTGTTCCTAATTTGGTGAAGACTTGCAGGGATAGGTTAGGGAAGCCTATCTCCGAGGCAGGGAAGGACAAAATGCTTGCAACACCCAGGGAATGCATTCATTAATGCCAAGGAGAGGAAAAATACAGAATTTAACCAATATGATTCCAACAGGCAACTGGAATTATTTTCATATCACATTACAGCACCCAGTTGAGTGGGAATAGGTAATATATTGAGGGTATCTGGAAAACAGTGAGCTAACCTTGAATAGGCTGATCATGGATTCACATGCTCACACAGCTGTGAATCTCCCAGACCAAAGGTGGTGTTCAGTGGTACCCACACTGGACTGCTACCAAGTCTGCTGCCAGTGGGAGGAAATGAATTGGCAGAGTACAGCATCCGTCAACCAAGCCAGCAGGCAACCATCTGGGAATGATTTCCTCTATTTATGAAAAAGACTAGTCTAAAGGAGCTATAATTAAATTTCTGGTGATTATTTGTGGTATGTGGATTATTTGTGGTATAAGTGGGCCCTGTGAATCCAGGGCACTGCTGGTGTTGACATCCTGGTTAGAAGGACAAGGAATGCCCAGAGATAAGTGGGATATAAGATGCCTCAGCAAATGTAGCATCTGTGGTTGAACTGAGCACTGCCACCACCTGTGTGACTCCACTCATGAGATTCTTGCCCTAATAAATGAAACAGAAATACAGCCAATGATGGATATAGAAAAATACTAAATTCAGTATTGCACATTGGGACTATTTAATGCAAAGAATACAGTATTGAAGAGGAGTGTGTATCGATTCAAAGTAAGTTTTCGATTTTTTTGCAATGCAGGGTTATATGAATACATAGAAGCACCTATATAATACATTGCCCACTTGTAAATGTATATGCATGTATACATATATAGATGCATATAGAAGGGTGAATATATCAAAATGTCAGTGTGCTCACTCATAGCATGGTGGGGAAATGTTTTCTTTCCTATGTGGAAAGGGAAAAGACTTTAATGACTCACACAGTGACACAGATGCTCCCAGAGAGCTCTGGGGTGCAAAGTTCATTCTGTCTTCAGCTCTCTGTACCAAGAACAGGCAGCCTACAGCATTAGTCATGTGTGAAGGCCGCCAAAGGGAAGGAGACAGAGTATATCTCAACATGAATGAACATTGCATGCAAGTGAAACCAAATCTGCCTGGTGCTTTTTGTGAAAGACAGGAAGAAAAAAATAGTCTCCTGCCTTTTGCTTCTAAGATGGTAGCTATTTTTATAGTCACTTTCTCATAGTTCTACCAAAGGAAGGAGAAACACAACAGAGCCCAGCACATAAAGCTGGGCTTGGGACAGGATGCAGGCAGCATACATCCACAGTAGTGGCCAGCAGGGTGACGTCCTTGTTCTCAACTCAGCTCTCTAGTTCTGTGGCCATTCACTGTCCTCCAATAGCCTTGACTTCTCCACATGCCCCTCATCAAGGGGATGTTTTTGAAAGGGAACATGTGTGAGATGGAACTACAGAATTCAGTGAGTGTTTCTGCTGGGACTTAGACAATGAAATGGTCGCAGGCTACCTCCATGCTAGGTGTTGGGATCATTTTCCTGTATGATTGGTCAAAAAGGAAAAGGCAAAACCTTGCTTTTCCAGTTCTTCTTTCAAGTACTGATCTTCTTAAAGGCAAAAACAAACAAACAAACAAACACATGGGCAGGATATTTTGACCCAAGTTAGGAGGCTTAGATACAGAGAAATGTGCACATTAGAGTGTGTCCTTTGGAAACGGTTCCCCAAGTCTGAAGGTCTAGCCACATGGATGTCTTCTCAAAGATCCTCCCATTCACACACACCCTGCTCATGCACCTGCAAAGAAAAGAGGCTACTCCTGCCTAATCCCACCAGTCACTGGCATTGGTCCTGTTCTCTCTGAGCATCCAGCACAGTGTGCCCACCTCTAGATGAAGACCTGGGACCCACCAGGGATAGGGAACACATGTCTTTGTCTCCATTCCCCACAGCACTTGGCCAACAGTGAGTGGAGGCAATGAAGCCAGCCAAACGTTCTTCACTGTGGGTTCTCTCAGTGTGTGAGATTGGAGTGCTTCTGCTTTGAGGTGAGGAGAGAGGACAGAACGGAAGGGAGCTGCACCCTGAGGAGTCTCCTGATAGCTCTGCCCAGCCTGTAGCCTAGTTTTCTACCTCAGTATCATCTATGAGATCTCCCTGCCCACAGGAAAGCATCACAGATGTCTCCCTAAGGTCAAAGCAAGGCCCTGTGACACCCAGCCTACCCGGATAGAGACCATCCCTTTGAAGGGCCACCTATTACCAGAAGCTTCTTTGTGTTGCTCAGGGTGATAAAGATTCTTCCTTTTGCCAGTTAAGCCCTTGCCTATACCTCCTTGCAAATTTAATCCCTTCTGGTCCCTAGATGTGGCTGCAGAGAGAATCACTGACTACATTTCCTGGACCCAGACATCTCCCTTGGGACCCCAGAGGTCTCACCTCTAAGAACTCCAGCTCGGCATCTTCTCCCCAGGGAGCAGAACTGAGTCGGTGCATCTCGGAGATTTCTACTTGGACCCGGATTGCTGTCATCCGCTCAATAAGCCTTGCTGGGATGTAGTCTTGAATTTGGAAATATGCTTTCCTTTCCAGCTGCTAGGAATAGCAAGTAGAGGAAAGGGCTTACCCAGGAAGCCTTCCAGACATCTCTGAACAGAAGAGCAATGTGGCTGGGTGATGTTGGCACAGGCCTTTAATCCCAGCACTCTGGAGGCAAAGGCAGGCAGATCTCTGTGAGTTCGAGGCCAGTCTTGTCTACAGAGTGAGTTCCAGGACATACTCCCAAGTTACACAAAGAAACCCTGTCTCAGAGGAGAGAGGGAGGGAAACCATACTCTTAATGTGCCCCAGGACAGGACACTCCTTTGAGGTGCCTCTGAGACACAGTGTTGTGTTCTGTGTTAGAAGTGATGCCAAACAACAAGGAAGTCTCAGATATGACATCATCCCTATACATCTGAGAAGATCTGATCCCTCTTTCCCACACAAACCTCAACCTTCAGCAGTTCTGCTACTTAGGAAGCTGACGCTACAGCCCCCCAGGAGAAGATAAAAGATCAGTGTCACCTAGTACTGGGTTCTCTCAACACAGACTTTGGGACAAACAGAAGTATGGTGAAGCTCATGAAAGTACAATCTCCATGTCCACTGCAAAAAAATTCGGAGGGCAGAATGGGGTGGGGGGGACTTAACCCTACATCTGTATTTCTGATTCAGTCTATCCTGATCTTGAGGCAACCCTGCCAGCATACCCTGTTGTGGGATAATCGTTTTGTACACTGTAAGGATGTGTCTCTGGCTAAGGTGCCTTCTGATTGGTTTAATAAAAAGCTGAACAGCCAATAACTAGTCAGGAGAGGATAGGTGGTACTTCCCAGTAGACTCAGAGCAAATCGGATATGCAGTACTGAGGAAAAGTAAAGACCATGTGGCAAAACGTAGATTTAAAAAATGGGTTAATTAAGTTATAAGAGCTAGCTGAAACAAGCCTAAGCTAAAGGAGAAGCTTTCATAACTAATAACAAGTCTCCATGTCATTATTTGCGGCTGGTGATCCCAATGAGAAAGAACTACTACACTACCCCTTGGGCAAATCACTGTCCCCCAGCTTTGATAGAAGTGATCCTGAAGAAGGCAGCTGAGGGCTGGGTGAATCTGATCTCTACTCAGAAGGTAAGTGAGTTAGTCTGATGAGGTTCAGAAGGGCATACCACTGTGCTCACAACACCCCACATTCAGGCTGTGGCAAAGGCCTATCCACATTTATTCATAGACTAAGAATACCAGAATTCTCCAGGTGAACCAGGCCGAGTCAGGGTTCAGATCAGAGGCACAAAGAGAAGAAACTTCCCAGCAACCTAGTGCATTTAAAAACATGTTAAATAAAATTTAAAATTATTAGATTGGCCAAAATGCAAAACACTGACAACACCAAGTGCTATGGGGAACAGAAGCAACAGGACCTCGGATAAATTGTGGGTGGGAGTGGAAAATGGTATAGCCACTTCGGGAGACAGTTGGTCAACTTCTTACAAAATCAAACAGACTCTATCTGAGGACCTCGCAATCAACCCCCAAGCCTTGAAGACCCATATCCACAGAAAATCCTACCATGGAGCTCAGGTAAAGAAGGTTTGCCTAGCATGTAGGAAGCCCTGGGTTAGATGTGCAGCAATGAAAATAAATAAAGAGCTGCACGTGGTTGCTAATAGCAGCTTTATTTATAACTGCCAAACCTTGAAAGCAAAAGCTGTCCAGGGAGTGAGTGAAAAAAAAAAAAAAAAGATGATGGTGCATCTGGGCAATGGCATGCTCGTCAGCACTAAAAACTAAAGGAGCCGCCAAGGAAAAGACATGAAGGTGATTAAATGTGTGCTGCTAAGTGACGTAAACCTACATGAAAGGTTGTATGTTATCTCCAAATATGAGATCTCCTGCCACAGATATGGTAAAGAGATGAGTGGTTGCCAGGAGAGGGCAGAGCACTAATAAGGGGAGCGGTGGTGATTTCTAGAGCAATGAGACCTCTCTGTATGATACTATAATAGTGATTCGTGTCATTATATATTTGTCAAAAACTATATGACACCAGGAGTGAACCCCTGCACTAACCAAGTACTCTGGTGACATCAATCTGTCAGCATCTGTTCATCGATGGTAACAAATGTGCCTTCTGGTACAGATTATATTGTTCACTGGGGGGGGGGGCTTTAAGGGGAGGGGAGTCAGTGACACCTGCCATTCAGCTTTGCTGTAAAACTAAACATTCTGTTAACAATTTGGATCTTAAATCCCTCAAAGGTCCATATGCTGAAGGCTGTCATGAGCAAGTGGCACTCTTTGGAGGACCCTTAGGACACAGGATCCAGCGGAAGGGAATGAGATCCTTGAATTTTTGTTCTAAGGTTGCTTCTGGGACCCTAGCCCCTTCTCCTTTTTCTGCCATTCTGCCTCCTGGCTACCATAATCCACCATGAGTTTTGCTCTGCCCTACCCCTGATGTTTGCTGCCTCAGCTAGGCTTACCTAAAGAGAGGAAGACTGCAAACATGGGTCAAAACCTATGAAGCCAAAACAAAGCTTCCCTCCTTTAGGTGGGTTATCCTGGGTAGTCTGTCACAGTGACAGGAAGTTGACTAATGGGTGTCCTGAAAAGTAAAGTTTATTGAAACATTTAGGGAGGGAAAGGGCATATAGGGTCTTTATCCCAGCATTTCTTGCTGAGAACATACCCAAGAGAAGAAGTCAACAGGGACCTAGAAAGTTCTATGCACAAGTACTTTTATCTATGTGGCATTTATAAAAGAGAATGTTCAGCCGGTCCCAGTGACACAGACCTTTAAGCACTTGAGAGGCAGAGGCAGAGGCAGGCAGGTCTTTGAGAGTTTCAGGCCAGCCTGGTCTACAAAGTGAGTTCCAGCATGGCCAGGGCTATGCAGACAAACCCTGTCTCAAAAAACAAAACCAAACAAACAAACAGAAACCAAACAACAAAAAAGAGAACAATCAGGTGCAACTGCTGTGGCAATAATCATAATTACCACTTACACTATCAATGGAATGTTCAGCAGAAGGGATGGGATATATGGGGGTTGGGATACATGAAGGCAGTCCCAGTCCCATGGAGCTGCAACATGCAAGCACCCCAGCTCCGTGGCATCCTCCGGAAGACCACACATCATAACAAGAGAGAGTGCAGATGGAGTGCAGCAATGTGTACGACTGTATAAAATCCCCACATGTGATCAGGCTGGAAGAGAATGTGCCCATGGAATGTATTCTGCTGGGATGGTGTGATTAAGGAGCTTTATTTTTATACTAAATTGCCTTTGTCTCCCTCTTTAAAATGCAAATGTAATCATGTTACTTCCCTGCTTAGAATTCTGCAGGGGCTCCCGTCTTTCACAATAGCAGTTTTCAGTTCTTTTCCCACCACCAGAAGCACTTATCAAACAACATACAAGCCCCTTAGCAAGACATACTAAGTCCTCCCAAGTGAGACACGTGCCACCTAGCCAGTCTCATCACCTCATGAAACACCTGAAGCCTCTTCCTCCTGACCATGGACAACACAGAGAGGAGCTGTCCCTTTTGAAGCCCCCTTACTGTGGTTAGATTGTTAAATATCCCCTGAAGGCCTCGTGATTTCAAAGCCTTTGGTACTATTAGAAGTGGAACCTTTAAGAGGTAGCTATGTGACAGAAGTTGAGTCGCTAAAGGCACTCACTCACTTGAGATATTTGGACCCCAGTCTCCTCACCTCTCTTTCATCTTCTCTTCTATCACCATCCACTGTGTCACCACATCCAAAAGTGACAGAGCCAATGACCATGTATTAAAGCCTCTGAAACTGTGAGCCAAATAGATCTTTCCTCCTCAAAAGCTGATGGCCACAGGTATTTTGTTGCAGCAATGGAAATCTCCCCTAATGCTGTCTGAAGTACCCACACACAGAAAATCAAGCACAATTATGGATTCTAGATGATGGCAATGTGTCAGCACAGGTTGGTTATATTGTTTTGGGGGGAAGACTATAAATGAGGGCAAGAAATCTCTGTATCTCCCACTTAATCCTACTGTAAAGCTAAAAGCGCATTTAAAAATAAAGTTTATTGAATCTTTTTAGTGAAGATAGATTTTTTTTCATACAATCTATTCTGATGACAGATTTCTCTCCTCCTGGTCCCTCCCCACTACCTCACCTGCCTAAATCCACACCCTTACAGATTTTCTATGTAGAATATGTAATATTAACTTTGCAATGTTTATGTGAGTTAGATGTTTGGGTCAATGGCAGATAGAGTGATCTCTTAGTAAAGATTGGCTATTAATATTGGTGATGGTGGTGATAAAAACTCAGTAAGTGCTTACATTACTATGGTTTGGCTCTGGTCTGAGTGGTCCCCCAAAGGGTACAGTGTGGATAGTCCTGATCTTAAATGTGGTGTTACTGGGAAATGATGGAGCTTTCATGGAGGAAGGACTTAAGAAGGGAGACTTTAAATCATGGGAGGCTTTCCTGCAGAAGGGACATAGGATATCAGTCTCTCTCCCTCTAAATTCCTATTTGGCATCTTGAGCCCCCATCTCAACATGTGTTCCCACTATGGGGTACTGCTACCTGGCACCCTCATCAGAGGGCAAACCAATGGGGTGGCCCAATCTTGGACTTTGAGCTTCTAAACCTACAACCTTTTCTTTGTGAGTTAACTGTTTGGGATGTTACCTTGTAGTAGGACAAACTGACAGATATAAAGAGGGATGTGCTGGATTAGAAGCAAATTAGGATGTATGAACTTTGTATGGTTATCCTTATATAATCCAGAACACAGGAAAGTGTTTAATGAATGCTTGTTTGATATGTGAACGGGTGGGTAGATGGGTAGGTAGGTAGGCAGAGGGATGCATAGATGCTAACAACACTTCTCAAAAGCAAAGCCTCTATATTCCTAGAAGCTGCCTCCTTTCACAGTCATCTTTCCAGGGATTCCACACAAAGACCCCAGGTATCACCCCTACCTCCTTAGGATAACTTCCAAACTCCGCCTGCAGGGCCAGGACCCCCAGCTGCAGTAGTGTCTCATCGTTGCAATACAGCCTCTCTTCTAAAATGTCTTTCCGAAGCTGCAGGTAAAACTGATGCCTTGTCAGGCTGTGCCTAGCAAAGAAACACAGGAATAAAGACAGCTTGATCGGTAGGAGAGTGCTTCATGGGAGGGCTTCTCAGTATGGAAAAAATGGATACAACCCAGCAGAACCCAGAGAACAGAACCAAAGAAACTAGACTTCTCCATACACACCATGCCCCCTCCCCCAACACCCATAAGGATATAGTTTAAGCCATAAAACTGATATTCAGTTAAGTAGTGTCTCCAGTAAGCAACAGAAAGCAGAGACAGTGAGCTGACTTCTATTACATCAGAACCCCATGGACAGAAATTGACCTTTATATGTATTCTATCATTCTCCATGCCTCTACCTATCCATTACCCATAATGCCAGCCAGGTATAGACCCTTTAATGATCCTAGGAACGGGCTGTGACACTCACCGCAGCAGCCCATAGTGACTGACAAAGAACTTTATCCGCAGAAAGAGTGTCAAAGTGTCCATTGAACCTTTTGGGTGCTGTTCTCTCCAGCCTTCTGGGGCAACTTTGCACAATCTGGTGTCCTTGTCCAGGAAAAAAAACTCTTCACCTGAAATGGTAATAGTTTGGAGAAAGAATGGATAGGGAGTGCCCCACCCTCAAATTCATCCCTTAAGCTCTGCCCAGAGGGATGGGGTGTAAGCTGCATTGGTACAGGAGAAAGCAGAGGTCCCTTCAGTATCTGGTAACAAGGGACTCTTGCATGGGCCATAGGAACTGAGAGGAGACAAAGGAAAACAATCAAGAAGAAACATAATCACAAGCATCCTCCATATGCACAGTCTATGTCTGCAGATTCAACTAACCACATATTGAAATATTTGTTTTACATGTACTAAATATGTACAGACATTTCTGTCATTGTCTCCTCTACAGTGTGGCACTCACTTAGATAGTGTTCACATTTTAAGTGAGCACTCTAGAGACACATGGGAGTGCACAAAATACAGGTATACATCATTTCATTTCATATATGAACTTCTAGGGATTTGGGAGTCTGCTGGGTCCCAGAATTCAAGTCCCATGGATGCTGAGTGACAACTGTATTTATGATGAAGAACTGTCACTTAAAGTCTGCTTTCCAGCTGTCATCATACGACAAAGGAATGGAGTATGAAGTCCCTGCCATGTGCCAGGTCTTTCTGTATCAGTTGACAGTTGAACCATATTGCACCTCCCAGTCACAGACACATTACCTACTAAATGTCTGCATCCTCCTCCAACTCATGCAGTGAGCCCAAATGTCCAGATTAATGGCTCTCATAACCGAGTTTCTCTCTTCCTCTCCCATCCTTGCCCCTCCCCCTCTCCCTCCTCGTGTGTGTGTGTGTGTGTGTGTGTGTGTGTGTGTGTCTGTCTGTCTGTCTGTTGTCCTCTCCCTTTTCATTCTTTCTTTCTACAATATAAGGACTCAGTGAGAAGGATTTCCTTTGTGAGCCAGAAAGCAGATCCCTACCAAGAATAAAGTCAGCTGACAAAACTTTGATCTTAGACTTGAAGATTTCAACTTGGGGGGCGGGGAGAGCTAACTGTTTAAGACACCCAGCTATGGCACTTTGTTGGAGCAGCTCAAACTGAGCAAGTCAGAGATAAGAACTATCTCATCTGAAAGCTCGGGTCTTCAGCTCCAGCAGAGTTGATCCCCCAGCCAATCTAGATGAAGATTAGATCAGTCCAAACCACTGAACATATTGTCCCCATTGCTCTGCTCCCTTAAAAGCTGTTCTCAACCAGACTGAGCATCATCGGCCACTCCCAGGATTCCTGCAGGTCTGCTCCTCTCTGACACTCTGCATATCCCATGCTGTCTGATCCTGTGCTCCACCCTCCAGTCTCAGTGTGTAGGTCAGTGGCTTGTCTAGGGTGGACTCCCACCACAGCTAGAAGGTAGGGCTGTTAAATTAGCAACCAGCCTTTGCTTCCTGGGGAGGTATATGTGGAGAGGTAGGTATATGTCCAGGTACTTCTAATGGCCATTGCCCAACAACCCCAGCCCTCCATCCTTGCTGCTGAATCTGACTCCCTACACCATACTCACTTTCCCTTAAGATGGATTCTCTCCGATTGGTGGATAAGCTCCCAATGTAGTCTGGCTGGCAAACACTCCCAAGATAGTCTCTATCCAGATCCATGATTCCCCATGAGGCCCCTCCCTAAGCAGCTCCAAAAATCCAGGAATCATGCCCATAAGAAGGGTTTACAAGCATCTCCTTGATTTGAGGGTAGAGGTTTTACTCACCTAGATTTTACTTAGTTGTTCATTGAGTGTTTTGAGCATACATGTGCATGTTTGTGGGAGCATATATGTGGGAGCATTCATATGTATGTGCCTGTAGAGGACAATCTTGAATGTCATTACTCAAACACCATCCACCATTTTTATTGAGACAGGGACTCTAGGTGGCCTGGAACTCCCAGGTAGGTTATATTGGCAGGTCAGCAAGCCCCAGGGATCTGCCTGTCTCTGCCTCCCCAGCACTGGAATTACAACAACACATCATCACAGTGAGATTTCCTTTGTACATGAGTCCTGGGAATCAAACTCAAGTCTTCCTGCTTACCAGGCAAGCACTTTACCAACTGAGCTATCTCCCAAGCCTTGGCTTTTACTTGGATGATACATTTCTTATACAGAAGACAGAGACCATTACTGAAAGTCACTACTAGTCAAAATGCAGATAACAACTGACCATGGGACACCAAACCCCAACTAGTATATCTACAACACAACCCCTACACCTAAAGCTCCAGGATAGTGGTGGAAAAGGGAGTGGAAGGCTTGTGAGCCCTGAAAGTCTGCTATAAGATTGTGTCTTCTGGATGTGGCAGGAAAGCCACACCAATGACATCTAAACAAAATAACTTACTAAATAAGATTTGAATAGTGACAATTGGCATGCCAGTATGAATAGGGGAAATCTCACAGGGCTCTAACTCTAGACAAAAAGCTACAAGCAACTAATGACTGTTGAGAGTGAAAGGCGAATTAGTTTTCCCCAGAGATGAGCTCTCTAATCAATTACCCAATACCAAGTGTCATCCCTGAAAACATGTGTGTGTGTGTGTGTGTGTGTGTGTGTGTGTGTGTGTGTAACACTGAACGTGAAACAGACTCAGCAGGTTTGCATGTAACAATAATAATTAATGAATAAGAGGTCATGAATTTGAGAGATGGGGCATAGGTGGGGTTTGGAAGAGGAGTGGAAGGGGAGAAGTGATATAACTGTATTTTAATTAAAACATTTTTAAATAAAGTGATTTTAATAGCTTCTGATATACAGCAGGCACCTAAAAAGAATACAATTCTTCCTAAAAAGCACTTCCATTTGTATGTTAACCAAAGTTAGACTTCATTGATCATGACCTACATCGAAGTACAAAATGACTGTTCTATTTGGAAGTGGTGTCCTTGTGGTGGTGGTGGTGGGAGTGGGGTGTCTGATAAGAACTCTGGGAAGACAAAGACACTGCCACCAGCCCCACTGTGACACACTAAGAGCTCACAAGCCCCTCTTTAGAGGCTGGAGGATGAGGAATACCGAGACTCTAATACCTCACAGACAGGGCCTGGAGCTCAGACTGAAGTCCCATAAAATCTTTTCTCAGCCTCTTTCCCTCTGCACTTTAGATTGAGGCTGAGAACTCCATCTGCAGTATAGGAGTACTTTGAGGAGAGGAGATAAAAAGGCCTTTCATGAAAGAAAGACTTGGGAAAAAATGTTTGCAAACCATTCTCTCAGGAAAGATTAACGTGGATTCTTTGGGGCCAAGGTGCAAAATGCCAGTAGTTCCTTGGATAATTTACCAATGTTTTTATATCTGTTTGTCTTAACTTCAGAGCACTATAACTGATCAGACCCAGCAAGCCACAAACCCACATCCTACCCCATTCTCTCCTGACAATCTGTGCTCACCAAGGCACCCTCTCTGTGTTGAGCTAAGCAAAGTTCGATGTCCCAGGATCAAGCGGTTTTCCAGGAGGAAGAGTCCATGCACCCATGAACCTGGGCTCCCAGAAGCTCATGTCAGTAGTGTCCCCGGGAAATGCCTACCTTTCATATAAGCCAAACCAAAGTAGGTGGTCTCCCCAAGGTTGGTGAAGGACATGACAGCATTGAAGACAGCTCCTGCTGTGGACTCCATGTCACACTTCACCTCCAGACACTGTCCATTCAGCAAGACCACACAGAGGTCTCTGAAAGCCAAATAGGATTTCCCTTTTTTGGTCTGAAAACAATAATAACATCAATGCTCACAATTAAGAGGAGTCTAGGAGTCTTTAACTTGGGCTAGTCCCTAGGCTAAGCATGGCCCATGGATTACTTCATTTAAATGTCTAACTACCTATTAAGTGAATATAGTTTTGCTCCCTATTAACAGATGAGAAACTGAGGCTTAGGGACAATAAGGGACTCTTCCAGGGCTTCACAGTTGGAAAAAGGCAGAGAACCCAGGCCCAAGTATGAGCTCTCTGAAGAATCTATGAGGTCAGCAATGTGGGGAGGTAAGATCCATAACCCTCCTTCAGACTCATCCGTGAGTCATGCACCCCTGACTGAACCAGAGTGGGTTTCCTAGTGTTTATCTGCATTGTTCTGAGCTACAGAGAAGAGACACAAGGGGATAGGAACCTGGGAAAAGAAAGACACCATCCCAGGCTTCCCACAGCCCTGCCTTCAGAAGACCTAAGAGCCAAAAGGCAGCATTGCCAGGCAGGGTTGGCCAGACAAGCATCTTGGCTCTAGGAGAATGGAAAATGGGAAGGTCATCTTCCCAAATGTTCAACATTAGCTGAGAAACTCATGGCTCTAGGCTGGGTATGAACCATGAGGGCATGTACTTGACTGAGCTGGCAGCACAGCCATATAGTGCTCTCCCTCTGCCAGACCCTTTTCCTAAAATCCCCCATGCCTCTCTCCCTTCTTTGTCTCCTTAGAGCCACTTCCCTGGCTGAAGCAGCAATTTCCCCCCATCCTCACATATCATCCTCTACCCTCTTCCATCCTTATGTGTCTTCTCATTTTTTTTAAAGCACAAAGGGCTACCTGGCATGCTTTTCTATTACGCATTTGTCTCTCCTTCCTCCTCCTGCTAGACTGTAGGCGTCACAGGGAAAGGCATAGAGTGGAGCCTGGCAGAGTACCCAGCCTGTGGAGCTACTCCCGGCATCTGTGCTGAGTGGGGAGATGAAGGCTGAACTGAGATTAGGGGCAAGGACAAAACTGGAGGCCACAAGGAGCCCCTCTCATAGGGGAGAACGAGAGGCGGGAGTAGCATGGCCATGCACTGGCAGGGGTCTGGAGGGATGGGAGAGATGGGAGCAGATGAAGGGGATAGAAAGGAGGACGCTATTCTTTAAACAGCTTTGAGAAGGCAGAAACATGGGAGGGTGGTCATGAGAGAAGGGCCCAGAGCAGGGAGACTACCAAGATGTCCTCAGAGAAGACCCCAAGCAAAGTCCAGTCAGTTTTGAGTTTGTTTAGCCTGAGGATTCCTTCTCACCCCACCCAGGCTAAGCAGTAGTTACCACAATGGATCCAGGCAAATGTAGGGTCACCGGGGCCTCTCCAGCCAACAGGATGAACTCTGGTCTGGAGAACTGAGAAAAACACGCAGAATAAGCAAAAGTGGAAGGACCTTCCAGTTTTGGAGTTCATCTCCCTCTGTCTTCTGCAGTCCTTTGCATCATTAGAGGTTAACATTTGCACCGCAGTACATAATATTCATGGGTATCAAAAGCCTAAAACAAGCCTGTGCTCTCAGCTCTCATGAGGTTGAGGGATGAGATACACAGTAAAACCATCTCAAAAACAAAACTTAAAGAAAATCCAGCACTGAGGAGATCTTCAGTCGGTAAAGTGCCAAGTACAAGCATGAGGACCTGAGTTCAATCCCCCCAGAACTCAAATAAAAACCAGGCTTGGTGGTTTGCAACTATATCCCCAGCACTGGGGAAGTGAGGACAGGAGGCTTCCCCCCTGGGACTTTCTGGTCAAGCAGTCTAACCAAATTTGGTGAGTTCTAGATCCAATGAGAGACCCTGCCTCAAAAAAACAAGATGCCAAGCAATTGAGTACTACCCTGAAACTGCTCTCAACAAGCTAACTGATGTCAGCAGAGTTCTTCCTGCCTATGAAAAATCCACAGGAGGTATAAATAGACTGCAGGGGCCACCTCCTAACTGTATGAACTATTAGCTTGGCCTTCAAGGCTGGGCAAGTTGGTATGGCTGCTCTCTGGCCTCTCTTCCTCCACGTTTTCCCAATTGTAACACACACACCCACCCACACACACACACACACACACCAACAAGAAAGGAGACACTTCTTCCTAGCTAAGCCACCTTGCAATCTTATGCATGTCCCTGCATTTTGTCTGCCCACAAGGCCTCTTACAAGTGCACTCTGCCTTGTCATCTCTCTTACATGCCACACTGGGGTATTGTTTTACACACATGGCCTCAAACTTCAGGAGAGTAGGGCCTGAAACAAACCCCACATCCTAAAGAACATTTACTGTACAGCCAGTCCAGGGGTCAGAGATGGGGGCTGGATGATGCCTAGCTTCAAGTTACCAGGTTCAGATTTCTGTCAGCCCAGGGTCCCTGAGTGCAGAAGCCCTGCCTGTATTCTCCCACTGTGGTGCAGGTCCCAGCTGGAACCCCTCTGGACAGTGTCCTCCAGCTCCAGACCTCTTTGCTCACCTTTCCCTTTCTTTGTAGGAAATTCCTAGGAGAAGTTGCTGGCTGTGATTTTTCTGCTTCAGTCAAGAGCATAGGCCCAGAGTCACGCTGCAAACCCTCCTCACAGTCACAGGGACCAACACCTGCAAAAGTGCTGGCCAGGAATGAGGAAGGGTAAAGAACTTGATGATGCATCCATCCTGCAACAGATTCAGCTGCCACCCTGTGTTCCCACATCATGAGAAGTAACACAGAATCTTCTGTTGAGAAGCCAAGACCCTCAGAAGTTAAGTTCACCGGCTGGGGAACTACTTAAGGTGTAAGACCACATATACTCCCCACCACCACTACCACCATCCCAGGATTCTGACTCGGTGCTCACCATGACCCCAAAGTCCCAATATTCCATAAATAGATCATGGCTCTGACTTTGTTTTATTTTGGACATTCAACCCTTTTTGACAATAAATAGTCATGAACCACCTACTGATGCTTTGATCAACACAGGTCCTGTAGTACAATGAAGCTGGCAAACTCCAGTCACCTAGAGAGGCTGAAGCCATCACAGTATGCACACAATGTCATGTACTCAGGGGACCCTGTGGTAACAAACCCACTCCCCATGAGTGAAGCCTCTCCAGTCAGTGACTCAGCTGGTCACAGATGCAGAAGGTGGCCAGAGAGGCCAGGAATTCAGCAAGCCCCACTCATGAGTTCTGAATAACTGTAGCCAGTAGCCACTGTCTGGGAGTTGTTAGCAGGCAGGGTGTATCTAGAGATCACCGCTAAAACACCAATGCTCATGTTGTTCCATCTCTGAACCTGAATGGGACTCCCAGAAGACATGAGGTTCCTGACAAGATTGTTGCCAACAGACAACGCATGTCTTGGCTTTTCACTAATGTCATTTTCTGAAGATAGGGCTTCTCATCACTAGTCAGCAAAGAATCAGGGTGTGTAGACTCCCACACCAAGTTCACAGTGCTCAGGAGCAGGAGACTCACCCATTAACGAAGCTGAAACGACTGTGTGCTGTGGTGCTCCAGTGTTGCTCCAAGGAATTCTGTGCCTCTGTGCTTCTCTCTGAAACTAACCAAACAGTATGGTTGGTGTGTAGGGATGGTGCAAATAAACAGGTTGGCTTTGTACAGTAAGCAGCCCAGTGAGTGGATACCACCACAACTGGTCAGCTGTGTGCCCTTGGTGAAATTACTAAACATCTCTGAGTCTATTCTCACACGGCAAATGGAAATGACAGTCACAACACTAGGGAGATAAGAAGAATGTGAGAGGGGAGGGCAAGCCTAATGACAAAAGGCACAGCAGTTCATTGATTTAGAAACAACAATCAACAACTTTAAATAAAAATAAGCAAGTAAGATTAGGCTTGGTGGTGTGCACCTGTGATCTCATACTCGGGAGACAGGAGGATCAGAGTTCTAGGCTGTGTTGTGAGATTCTGTTTCAAAATGAATTAAGTAAATGCATAGGGTGTGATGGTTAAAACTGATCAGTATGACAAGGTTTGGAATCAAGCTTCTGGACACGTCTTGAGAGACATCTTAGATCGGCTTAATTGAGATGAGAAGATAAGCCCTGTGAGTCCATGGGCTGGGTTCCCAACCTGAACGAAGAGAAGCAAGCGAGCTGAGCACCAGCATTCATCTCTCTCTGCTTCCTCACTGCCGAGGCCATGTGACCAGCTGCCTGTCACTCCCCACATCACGCCTTCCTACGTTGTGGACTGTATCCTCACACTGTGAACAAAACCAAATCCTGCCTCCTTCGGCTGCTTTTGTCTGTTATTACTTCATTGCAACAAGAAAAGGAGCTAATACGTAACTCAAGTTCAGATAGCTGAGAAGCAGGTAAAGACATATTTGAAGGGTAATGTAAAAGCCACTCTTTCAGCATACCTACAGTAAAAATTTAAAAAGTCTTTTATGAGTTATTTGCTTGTCATTCCACTTACAAGGTCATTTTTAAAACCTTTTTCTGTTTGGGGGCTGGAAAGATGTCTTGGTGGTAAAAGCACTGGCTACCTTTCTGGGGGCCATTAGTTCAATTTCCAGCACCTGCATGGGGGTCCATAACCATCTGAAACTCCAGTTCCAGGAGATCTGATGCCCTCTTCTGGCCTCCACAGGCATCAGGCCAGTACATGGTACATAGACAAAACACTGATACATAAAATAAAACAAAACCTTTTCCTTGCTTTTTCTAACTTGTTCTCATCAATTTGGACAACTAGACTCCAATTTAGACCGCTAATATTATAATTAACTCTATTCAACTTTAGTAGGCACAACGACCGTAGGTCCAGGCTATTAGCACTTCCTGGGAGAATAGCGCTCTCATGGGAATTCTCTGTGTATATAGCAAGGATGTCCATATTCAGGGCAGGAGACAATGGACTGGTCCCTTTGAGTACCCTCTATCTATATAGGACCTCTCACCTCTTTGAGGCTGCAGACCATCAGAGGCTCGAGCTCCAGGGCTCTCACTGCCAGCCTGATGCAGCTTGCTCCTGAGAAAGTGGCTTCTGCTCTGCCGCTCACAGGTGCCTTCCTCTACAACTCTTCTCTCCACCTGAGTGAGGATTGGTGGACTCACATATCAGCAACCAGGTCAGACAAGTGCATTGATACCAAACACATGTAAGCTGCCTGTCAGGAGCATCTGCTAGACAAGTTCTCTATCATGGAGCCCCTGAATTTTTTTATTTAATTTCCTTTTAATTAAAATTTGGCTAATTTAAATTCCAATAGGCACACACAGCTCATGGCTCCCAGTGGGAAAGATGGATTCCATAACTGACCTCGGAAATGGTACCCAGCACCAAGCCCACCAGCCGACTGATGTGGAGACTGGCAGGGGCTGGGTACACAGCCACTTCTTCCTGATGAACCCGACAGGCTTCCAGAACTGCCTGCAGTGGCCGCCGTCTTCGAGGCTGGTCTTCGCACATGGCCAACAGGAGGGAGTGCATGGGCTCTCGAAGCTGCAGGGGCTGCAGAGCACACATTGGTGAGAAGTGTGGCCAGGTAGAATGGCTGCTGCAGGGCACCAAGGCCTACATGCCCTGGAGACTCCAGGAAATACACTCATCACTACTAGAACTCATTTGCTTCTTCTAGAACAGACATTTGATTTGTCATTGAGGCAAGCAATGGTTCCTACATCTACTGTGCATGCTACTCCCTACTCTGAGCCATCCAATGCAAGCTCAGTGAGCTGATGGAAAGCCTGTGCCAGACATCATAGACCTTGACCTGGGCCAAATGCTTGGCTGCACTAGTGGTCACACACACACACCAACCACTGGTGTGTAGCCTGGTGCTTCCTACAGTTATCTAGTGGAGGAGGGAAGTTATCTCATGAGAACTTCCCCAGGAACATGAGACCTGTAAGTTGAAGGGGCTTTTCATACTGAGCCATAAGCAACAGGCAAGGGCTCAGTCACAGTCACCATTGGTAGGACTCTATGCTACACAGACATCAAGCCAAAGAAAAAATAGTCTTGTACAAGCACTCCCTTCATGCTCTCAGAGAGCCTGCCTTCACAGCAACCAGGCCACTGTGTCAGGTATTTACACGGCTCCCTAGAGGCCACTGTGTCCAACACAGTTGCTCTTCATCCTCATTGCCTTAAAGATCACAGTTCCGCACAAACGTTACTACTTAAAGAGCAAGAACAGCTGAAGACAATGAGGGTTTGACCTCAGGAAGCACAGGACCCCACGAGTATACAGACAGAAGCCTGATCTCTCCAAGACCTTTATCATAAAGGGATGTTGAATTTTGTCAAAGGCTTTTTCAGCATCTAGTGAGATGATCATGTGGTTTTTCTTTTTCAGTTTGTTTATATGATGGATTACACTGATGGATTTTCAAATTCCTAGGAGGAAGCCAACTTGATCATGGTGGATGATTTCTCTGATGTGTTTTTGGATTTGATTTGCCAGTATTTTGTTGAATATTTTTGCATCTATGTTCATGAGGGATATTGGTCTATAGTTCTCTTTCTTAGTTGTGTCTTTGTGTGGCTTGGGTACCAAGGTAATTGTAGCCTCAGAAAAAGAGCTTGACAATGTCCCTTCTACTGCTATTGTGTGGAACAGTTTGAGGAGTATTGGTATTAGCTCTCCTTTGTATTCCTGCTATAATATTGCACTGAAACCATCTGGCCCTGAGCTTTTTTTGTTGTTGTTGTTGGTGGTGGTGGTCGACTTTAGATGACTGCTTCTATTTCATTAGGGGTTATAGGTCTGTTTAAATTGCTTCTCTGTTCTTGATTTAATTTTGTTAAGTGGTATCTACCCAGAAAATTGTCCATTTCTTTAGATTTTCGAATTTTGTGGAGTACAGGTTTTCAAAGTATGACCTGATGATTCTCTGGATTTCCTCAGTGTCCGTTGTTATGTCTCCCTTTTCATTTCTGATTTTGTTAATTAGCATGCTCTCTCTCTGCCTTTTGGTTGGCTTGGATAAAGGTTTGTCTATCTTGTTGACTTTCTCAACATTTCATTGAGTCTTTGCAATGTTTTCCTAGTTTCTACTTAATTGATTTCAGCCCTCAGTTTGATTATTTCCTGGTGTCTACTCCTCCGGGGCAAGTTCACTTCCTTTTGTTCTAGAGTTTCAGTTGCGCTGTTAATTCTCTAGTGTGACTATTCTCCAGTTTCTTCATGTGGGCACTTAGTGCTGTGAACTTTCCTCTTAGCACTGCTTTCAAAGTGTCCCATA